ATGAGTCAACCTGGATGGTGATCTGTGGCCACCAGGGCTAGGGTAGTGTATGGTGCTAGGGACTGAATTCACATATGCAACACAGGTCACTTGCGTGATTGTCCTGGTCTAGTATGCTGTTTTGCAATAGAAAATCAGAGCAGAGTTCTGAGTTCTTGCAGGTAGAGGAATAGCAGAACCATAATTCTAACCCAGACTGACAGACTCTAAGACATATATTCTTTTTTTTGGGGGGTGTTAGGGCATTCCAAGTGTTGCTCATGGTTTACTCCTGGCTCTATACTCAAGGAATCACCCCTGGTAGGGCTTGGGGGGCTATATGGGGTGCCAGGGATTGAACTAGGGTCAGCCACATGTAAGACAAACACTATGCCCACTATATAATCTCCCCTCCCCATATATATTTTTAACATATTTATTGGGTTTTTTTGGAGGGGTTGAGAGAACTGGGTGTTGGGGACCATGAGGACTATACCCAGCAGTGCTGGGAAGGCTCTATGGTACCAACCCCAAGAACTATCTCTCTGGCCCTAGGATGCATCTTGACACTAAGCAGCATCTCGGTCCCTTAAGAATGTGGTACAGGCAGTAGCTTTCATGCTTTATACCTCATGTCTTAGATTTTGGGGTAAAAGCATATTCCAAACAAATAAATGCATTATTTTAAAAAGACATATTCTGCTTGTTATAAGTTAGGGGGAGAGTGGAAATCGGGAATAAATGTGAATCAATTAAGGAAGCCTAAGGGGAGTCTTCATGGTGCTGAAAATGTTACGACTTGAGGAGATGTCCATAGGAATTTACTCATGATAAAATATCACACAAGCACCATGCAGGAGTACTATGTAGCTGTTAAAAAAGATGAAGTCATGAAATTTACATACAAATGGTACTGCTTGGAAAGTATCATGTTAAGCGAAATGACTCAGAAAGAAAGGGATAGATATAGAAAGACTGCATTCATCTGGGGAACATAAAATAAGAAAATAGGAGACTAACACCCAAGAATGGCCGAGATTAGTACCAGGAATTTTACTTCATGGCTTGGAGGTCAGCCACACATGCGAGTGGAAAAGGGAGCTCAGATAGAGAAGGGAGCACAAAATAAAGGGTGTTGGGAGGATCCTCCCAGGATGGGAGAAGCATGCTGAAAGCAGACCAAACATGATTGCCACTCATTGCCTCTTTTGCAAACCACAACACCCAGAAGGAGAGAGAGAACAAAAGGGAATGCCCTGCCACAGAGGCAGGGTTGGATAGGGGGGTTAGGGGGGTGGGAGGGATACCGGGATCCGTGGTGGTGGGAAATGGGCACTGGTGGAGGGATGGGTATTTGATCATTGTATAACTAAAACCCAAGCACAAAAATGTGTAAGTCTACAATTGTACCTCATTGTGTCTCACTAATAAAAAATAATAAAAATTTTAAAAAATTAAAAAATAAAAAATAAATTTAAAAAAGCACCATGCACTGAAGTCTGGTTTTGATGTCATCTGATGGTTGTATAAAGAAATGGTCATCATGAAAACTGGGGGATTGCTAAACAGGAATGTTAGGTACTATTTTTTGTGACTTCCTCTCATCTATATTGTTTCATAATAAAAAGACAATTAAAAAAGCAGATGCTCCTCCCTTTGATAAGTAACCGAATCAGAGAAGGGAAATGTTCCTCCAGGCAGGAGAACTAAATAGAACTGGGTCAAGCAGGAGAGTAGCAAGACTAAGGCAGTTACTGTGCAAGGTCCACCACAGAGTCCAGCACTGCCAGACTCCTTCGAGGAGACCATGGCTAGTCCCCAATGATTAAGGTTCAAATGGTTAGATAAGAACCTCTGGGAAAAAGCAAAGAGAAGGCAACCTTGTCCTACATTCATAAAATCTGTCTCCTGAGTCAGCAGCCTGAGTTTCAAAAGTTCCTCAGATGACATGGGAGAGTTAAGAATAAAATAGGATCTTGGGTCCAGAGAGATAGTATAGTGGGGTAGGGCGCTTGCTTGCCTGGCACACAGCTGCCCTGGGTTTGATACCTGGCTCCACATAAGGTCTCCCTGGGCACGGATTTCCATTCTGTCAGGAGTCCATCCCCACCCCTGCGACCTAAAACCACCTAAAACCTTGATTTTTCACAGGGTCAGAATGGATTCCAACAAGCATGCTTTTCATGCATTATAAAACCCCAGTGTGGGCTGTTTCCTGGACACTATATATAAACAATGAGCTATGACTCTGAACTGCTTTTTCCTCATAGTTTCTCTCCTAGCAAGTTACTAAGGTTTTCCTGACAGGTGAATAATTATGAAATGGTGACCCTAAGGGGATGGGGCTACCTGACGCTGCCCTAAAGGATCAGAGCAGCCTGACACTGGTGAGCTGGTCCAATACCTTAATTATCCATTTGGGCCCACGCTCAAGGTGCTCAGGGGTCACTAGTGCTGCCAGGGATCAAATGCAGGCCAACCATCGACTAGGCCTTGGAGCCTTCTCCCCAGCCCAAATGATCATAACTCAGGCTGTTGCTGTACAGGAACAAGCAGCGGAAACTTAAACACAGCCCCCTCAGGTTCCAGCTCACCTCTTGCTTTTAAGATAACCTAAAGATTGTGTGATTGTAACCCAAACATGAAAGCTTGTAACTATCTCATGGTAATTCAATAAAAAAAAAAAAGATAACCTAAAGAATCTCTTAGATGTGTATTCGGCGAATATCCTTTCCCATTCTGTAGACTGTCTTTGTATTTTGGCCACTGTTTCTTTGGAGGTGCAGAAGCTTCTTAGTTTAAGATAGTCCCATTTATCTATCTCTGTTTTCACTTGCTCGGCCAGTGGCGTGGCATCTTTGAAGATACCATTAGCTTCAATATCATGGACGGTTTTGCCAACTTTGTCTTCAATGAAACTAACACCCAAGAGTGGCCGAGATTAGTACCAGGAGGTTTGCTCCATGGCTTGGAGGCCACCCACACATGCTAGGGGAAAAGGGAGCTCAGATAGAGAAGGGAGCACCAAATAAAGGGTATTGGGAGGATCCTCCCAGGATGGGAGAGGCATGCTGAAAGTAGACTATAGACCAAACATGATTGCCACTCAATGCCTCTATTGCAAACCACAACACCCAGGAGAGAGAGAACAAAAGGAAATGCCCTGCCACAGAGGTAGGGTGGGATGGGGGAATGGGGGGTGAGAGAGATACTGGGACCCGTGGTGGTGGTAAATGGGCACTGGTGGAGGGATGGGTATTTGATCATTGTATAACTGAAACCCAAGCACTTGTAAAGTCTACAACTGTACCTCATGGTGTTTCACTAATAAAAATTAAAAAATAAAAAATAAATGAAGTTAAAAAAAAAAAAAGAATCTCTTAGAATCAGTGCTTAAGGAGGAAGTGCACAGAAAACAGCCTCTAGCTAATCTGGAGACTTCCTACCCCCTCCCCCCATCCTGTTTGTTCCCAAACCTAGCCCCAGTTTTTGGAGAAACAGACAAAATAGAAGTTTCAAACCCTCCTTTCTACCTACATGAAATGAACTTCCTGTTGACAGCTTGACAGGCCAGACTTCAATTCCCAGCACTATATGTTCCCCAAGCAACACCTGGAGTAACCCACCCCACCCCAAGGACAGAGCATCAACAGATATGCACCAAACACACAAGCAGGTAAGAAAATGTTCTCTGAGACAAAGGGACAGGGAGGAAAATTTGAGCATTGCTCCTGCCACCTAGACTACAAGAAAATGTCTCTTCCTCCTTGCAAAGGCTGGTGTGAGGGGGTTTGGCTTTCTGACATCAGAGAGTGGGCCTTGGTTCAGTTTCAATGTCCAACAATGTAATACTGTTACATATGCTTATAATCAACACTATTAGGCACTGCTGCTGAATTATGAATGTTAAGGGATCTGCAGCACATTCTTTACAGGAGAAGCCATGACTTTGATTACTTATACCACATGGTCCCCAGAGCCCTATGAATAGTGACCCCTGAGCACTGATTTGGGATTACCCACCCCATCCCCCAGCACAAACTGGGTGCTGGCCCTAAAACTGCAACAAAAATGTTTTGGGCTACAAGTAACAAATTCCTCAGTCAATACTCTCATAAACTTTATACCTACTGCATGAAATCCAGAGAAAGGCCCCAGAGGGCTCTGGGACTGACATCACCAACCTTTCCTTGATTTTTGTTTTCTTCATGGCTCCATGGCATGGAGAAAGGTAAGAGGCAAGATCAAGGTCCTCTTGCCTTTCTCATTCTCTCTCCTTTTGCCAGAAAGTAGCCTGGGGTCACTCCTGGGAAACTGAGTCTTTTACTTATTGTCTTTGTTTTTTTGTTGTTGTTAGGCCACACCCAGCGGTGCTCAAGACTTACTCCAGGCTCTGCATTCAGGGATCATTCCTGATCTGGGATCACTTAGAAGGCCATATGAGGTGCTGGAGAACAGTCCATCTGTTCTCCAGCGTGCAAGGCAAACAGTCTACCCACTGTCTATCACGCTGGCCCCAACATCTTTATGGAAGAACTTCGGAAGAAAGAGGAATGGATGGGACTGGAAGATGGGTGAGCTAACCTTAGCTTCTTAAACTGTGGGTCCTGGTCCCGTGGAGTCGTGTAACTGAATAAGGTTGTGTGAGAAATATGCCAACTGTAAAATAATTCTACTATGCAGTGACCAAATTAAAAATAACCATGTGACAAATTCAAGGTGTTTCTGGCAGTGCTTACCTGTGTTGGGGTGAAAAAAGGGCCACAAGTAGAATGGGTTTTTTGAGGAGGAACAGTATCACATCTGGCTATGTTTACAGGTTATTCCCAGGTGGAGCTTAGAGTTGAACCAAGTGTGCTCAAGTCGGTTGAGCTATCTCTCTAGACTGAGATCGCATAGAACAACAGCTTTCCAGTGAAATTTTATTAGGTGTCATTTAATTCAATTCAATTTAATTCAATCTAGAAACCGTTGATCATTAGGACATACTAATACATTATTAGAAAATATTAAGATGCCAATCAAGCTTGAAGAACTCCACTGTCAATAATTATGCATTGTTGAGTTGGTCTTTCATTCTCTGTTGGAACTAATTCTAATCTTTGAAGAACTCCTGTTCCTTCAATTAATTGCCTATATGAAAGAAAACAGAAATTTTAGTTGTTCATGAGCTTTCATATTCTATACACATTCCTAAACTGAGTTCTGGTCAAGGGAAGTGACTCGAAGAATTAGAACACAAGCTGGGTATGTGGAAGCTCGGAGTTTGATCCCTAGCACCACAGTGTCCCCTGGCCACTGCTGGATGACTCTACCCACTAAAAATAAAACAAGACAAAAAACATAAAGTCTTGCATGGCTTTGACTGGTCCACAAAACAAAAAAAGAAGGTAAATTTCTGGAAGGGTGGCACTGAGTGATTATTTGTCCGAGAAGGGGACAGTAGACCAAATAAATTTAGGAACCTCTGAGATAAAGAATTTAAAGGCTATTTGTTTTAAAATGAAGTAAAGAATGCAATTTCAAAAATCAGAGTCTACTTTATTAGGCCCAGGTGAAATAAAAGGCAAGAGATTATTTGAGGTGATATATCTATTAACATAAAATCACCTCTTAAAACATCACTCATGAGGTCACCAGTTGCCCCCCACAAGCGGCTCTCTGGCATGGCCATGGCCCCAGAAGAACAACGACTTAATGTAGAGCCCAGAAGCTTGGAGCAGAAAAGTGAACGGACTATGTGTTATTCCACACCACCATGTCTGCCCGGAGGGGAAAGGGAGTTGGTCCCTTCCGCCTTCTCCCCTCTGGAAAGAAAGATGGCAGCCGCTTGGGAGCCTTGTGGAAAGCCAGGTATGAGCCAGTGGTGATGGGGCGACTAAAACCTCATGGGAAGGGGGGTATTCCCAGCTTGTCCTTCATGCCCTACCGAGGTCACCAGTTGCCCCCCACGAGTGGCTCTCCAGCACGGCCATGGCTCCAGAGCACAGAAAACAATCTCTTAATTATATGACTCTCAGTAGAAATACTTCCAGGGTCATGGTCACGGTCCTCCCATTGTTCATCAATTTGCTCGAGCAGGCCCAGTAATGTCTCCATTGTGAGACTTGGTTGTTACTGTGTTTGGCATATCAAGTATGTCACGGGTAGCTTGCCAGGCTTTGCCGTGCGGGCGAGATACTCTCGGTAGCTTGCCAGGCTCTCTGAGAGGGGCGGAGGAATCGAACTCGGATCAGCCATGTTGGCTGCGTGCAAGGCGAGAAATCCAAAATCGCGCGGCCGCAATCACGATTGCGGCCGCGTGACAACATTTAATTCTTGAACACAGCTGTAGAAAGCAAATCATTTCACAATGCTTTTTCAGCATGTCTGATTTGGGTGGGGGGTAAACTCTAAATAATAATGGTGCATCTTTTATCGAAACAATGAATCTAGTCAAAGTAGATAGAGTGTTAACTAGAATTCATCTGCCTCACAGGCATTGGGAGGGGTGGGGGGTGGGGGTCTATTGGGGTTCTTCGTGGTGAAAAATAAGTATTGGTAAAGGGAAATGTGTTTGATATTTGCATGACCAAGACCTAAACCTGAAAGCTTTGTAACTTTTCCCATAGTGATTCAATAAATAAATAAATTAATTTTAAAAAATTAAACCAATTGACTTAAAAAAAATCACTCATGAATAGCTCTGGTTGTATCCACTTTGCCATGATTTCCCCACATTGGCTCTGGGATTGCCCCAGTCTATTGTTCTCACCTTAGAGTCCTCCTTAAAATGCCAATCTGATATTATCTCCTCACTTAAAACACTTTCCCATTACACTTAGAGAAAGACCAAAAAATCTCTATCATGGAGGTCTTAGGGCAAAAAGCATCTGTGGGGCAGGCAAGCTTGAGATCATGAGTTTGAACCCTGGTGCCACTCACATGCAGACTGCTGCCCCGGCAGCCCTGATGTGGGAACTCTTGGCCACAGCGCTATATGCAATCAGGGCAATGCAGCCAGGTGAGTGAGCATGACAATTAAGTGTGAACCCTGGGGAGCATCATAACTAAAAAGCTGTGCAAGCACCACAGCCAGTGTGCCCCTCCCCTCCCCTGGGCACTCCTATTATGGCCCCCAAACAGAATAAAACAAAACAAAAAAGAAGGTAGATTTCCAGAGGTGTGGCACTGAGTGATTATTTGTCTGAGAAGGAGACAGTAGACTTCTAAGTTTGGAAATCTCTGAGATAAAGGATTTAAAGGATCATCTAAGCACATGTTTGAGAGTAGAGACTCTCAGCCAGGTGACAAGAAGATAGTGAAATGATCCAACAAATGGTGGAAACTATTTGTTTTGAACTGAAGTAAAGAATGCAATTTCAAAAATCAGAGTCTACTTTAGTAGACCCACGTAAAATAAAAGGCAAGAGATTATATTAGGCGAAGTATCTATTAATATAAAATCACCTCTTCAGAAATCTCCTTTGGATGAAAATTTTTTTCTACTTTTTTCAACCTAGTAATGTCAAAGGAAGGATTATAATTAAGGATTAATTGTGGTTAAGATTAACACTGGCATAAAATATTTTCATGGTATAAGGAATAAATAATTATCCAATGGAGTGGTTGAAATAATCTAACACTAAGAAAAAATGTAACACTTTCATCATTTTCAGACAGAGAGACCTACACTTATGTTTGCTTCAGCAATTGGAGATATGGAACACTGAAGTGATGAAATATCATGCACTGTCCATTTTGGGTCCATAAAACTTTAAGCATTGTGCTAATATTTCATAATACATATTACCGATATACCTATATGGTTAATATTTCATTAACAGACACATATTTAAAACTGTTCAGAAAAAATGTTATTTATAATTTGTATAGTTTTTATTTATTTCTTTACAATCTTCAAAGACATTACTTAAGTGGCTTTCCTTTACACTTTTCTATCTAGATTACTTATAGTAATTTATATCTACATTAGCTCTATATTATTAAGAATTATGACATTAATCATAATTATTAAAAATTGGAGTGATAGCACAGTGGGTAAGGTGTTTGCCTTGCATGCGGCCAACATGGCTGACCAGGATTCAATTCCTCTGCCCCTCTCGGAAAGCCCGGCAAGCTACCAAGAGTATCTCTCCTGCATGGCAAAGTCTGGCAAGATCCCCATGATGTATTCAATATGCCAAAAAACAGTAACAACAAGTCTCACAATTTGTTGTGAGACACTACTGGTGCCCGCTCGAGTAAATAGATGAACAATGGGAGGACAGTGCTACAGTGCTACAGTTAATATCCTTAAAACTTAAGATAAAATGATGTATGGATAGTGGACTAAATATTCTAAATACCATACCTAAATTGTTTTTATATAATTGTTTCTAAAAAATTTGTATCTAAAAGATTTGTTTCAATTTGCCTATATTTATATTACTTTTGCTTTAAAACCCTATCTTTATTTAACCATTAACTACATACAATACTTAATTTTTATGTTTGGGAAGGAGGAAGCACCCAGCAGTGCATGTGTGTTAAGTTACTCCTGGCTCTGTGCTTGGGGATTCTTCCAGCATTGCTCAGGGAACAAATGGGGTCAGGGATCGAATTCAGGCCTCCTTTGCAGAGCTTGTGCAAAGCAGTTCATTGAGATAGTCCTCTGCTTAACCCTCCAAATATTATTGATCACATTTTACATCTGAATATTTTATATACATATTACATATAATATTTACATATGAATATTTCAAATATATTTGAATATAATACATATAATATTTAAATATGAGTATTAAATAGATAAACTTACAATGCACCTACCCAAAGGCCACATATTTTTTATCTAGATAGGGAGTTGGTTGTAGGGTGACATAGAATTGCGAGGCATTGCTGTGACGACCTTTGTTAACCATTCCAAGAACTCCTCTTTTATTATGAGGAATTGAAAAGTTTTCATCTGAAAAGATAGCAATCAGTATATCATGAAAATATTGCTATTTTTTCTACTGACTATAATACAAAAAGCACAAATAGAATGCTGTCAACGATATTTTCACAATTCATTCTACTCTTTAGATGTTTTAAATTATTTTTTAAAGGGTTTGATGCCATACCTTGGTGCTCAGGGTTTACTCCTGGCTCAGGAATGGACCATATGTGAGGCCAGGGAATCTAACCAAAGTTAGCTGTGAACAAGGCAAATACCCTAGCCCCTGTACTATCTCTTCTCTCCCTTTATTAAAAGTATTTTGTTTTATATTATTTTAACTTGGCTAAGGTAAAGGCCCTCCCGTTGATCATCGATTTGCTCCAGCGGGCCCAGTAACGTCTCCATTGGAGACTTTGTTGTTACTGTGTCTGGCATATCGAATACTCTCGGTAGCTTGCCCGGCTCTCCGAGAGGGGCGGAGGAATCGAACTCGGGTCGGCCATTTTGGCCGCTTGTAAGGCGAACGCCCTACCGCTATGCTATCGCTCCAGCCCAAGGTCAGTATGAGCGTGGAGTGAGAGTAGTACAGGTACCAGCACATTTGCTTTGCACACAGCTGACCCCAGTTCAATAACTGGCACTGCAAATAGTTCCCTGAACACTTCCAGAAGGGATCCTTAAGCTTAGAGCCAAGGATAAGCCCATAGCACCACAGGATATTGCCCTCAACCCTCAAAAAATATCAAAACAAAAAATGTTGACAGAACAACTACAAAAAGATTGGCAATAAAATCTTAGTAGAAATATCTGGGAGCTGGAGTAATAGTACAGTGGGTAGGGTGTTTACCTTGCATGCGGCTGACCCAGGTTTGATCCCCTGAATCCCTTATGTCCCCTGAGCACCACCACGAGTGATTCCTGAGTACAGAACCAGGAGTAACACCTGAGCATCGTTGGGTGTGGCCCAAAAACGAAAGAGAAAAAATAAGAAAGATTTGAGCATATATTTGTATAGTTTTTTGCTACCATAGATAAAAATAATTATGCTAAGAAAACTAATTGGGAGATGGTTGGGCCATACATAGTGATTCTCAGAGGCTACTCATAACTCTGTGCTCAGGAGTGACACTTGAGGATTATATGGGATTCCCAAGATTTTAAGCTGATTAGCTGCGTGCGAGGCAAGTGTCTTTACCCGTATGCAATATCTTCAGCCCCAAGAAAATGAAATACTTAAATGTTGATAATGAAAGGAAACGAATTCATAGTCATTTTTAATAACTAAACCTAACCTAAATTTTAATCTCAACCTATGGACTGACTAAGATATCATGGAAAGGGATGTGTGAGAGGGTTAACAAAGAACTACACAGAGGCTGTCAAGCTGCCCTTTCAGGAGTCTTATTCCAGCAGGAAGTAAGTAAAATTTGCCTCCAAATTAAAATACACAGAGGGAAATTGTGGAAAAGAAATGGAGTGAAAGTTTTTATTCAATAACTTTATAAAATTCTGAGTATTGAGAAAGAAAAATTTTAAGTATCCATAAGATTTTCTTAAACAAAAATTGCTATTTGTATTTTAAGTTCAAGGTCTCACCTACTAAGCAATGAATCCCTGTCTATGATGGTGACTTTCAGATTACTGTAAACTGAATAAAGTCCTTGAAATCCTAAAATCATAAAACTTACAAATAAAATCATTTTTGTAATTATAATTACATTGATGCCCCGTATTCATTTCAGTGGAATTCAGAAATAACCTATTAATTTCATAGAAAACTACACAGAAGAGAAAGTAACCCAAAGCAAAGATTCAAAGTTTTAATAAAAGATATATGTAAATAATATTTAAGGGCATTGCTCTTAGATATTATAATTAATTTTCCTTAAATTGTCTAGAATATAGGAAAGAAAATTTACAGAGTTTTGACATTTTGGTATTTGTTGTTAGCTTTTTAGTTTGGGGGCTACAACCAGTGGTGCTCAAGGGATATTCCCAGGGCACAGTTTGCATTGCATGCAACCCACCAGGGTTCTATCCCTGGCATCCCATATGGTCGCGTGAGCACCGCCAAAAGTAATTCCTTAGTGCAGAACCAGTAGTAACCCCTGAGCATCATCATGGTGACCCAAAAAGCAAAAAATAAAAAAATAAAAAATACTCCCAGGTCTATGCTTCAGTGCTCTGGAATCCTGTGGGGCCAGGGATAGAACCTGGGCCTGCTACATACAAAAGAGCCACTAAATTGGCTCTCTGGCCCTAGAGTTGTGACATTTTTACCCCAAATTCTGATGGGACAACTTCTAAAGCAGTTAATCATAATACCTATTTTAAAAATGCTATTTGTGTGATGTATGAAGTCCCAGGCAGCCTTCTGCCCCAAATGCCTCAGTACCACCTGAATTTCTAGGCCATGGTAACTGAAGCACCTGCTGTCCATAAAGAGTGAAAGGGCACTGGAGAGGCAGCTCGACTGGCTACAGAGTCTGCTTTGCCTGCAGGAGGCCCGAGTTTGATTCCTATCCTGAGCACTACCACAAGCAACACCCAATTACCAAATGCAGTGTAGAGGCCCTAAGGACTGCCAGGTATGGCCCCAAATCCAACTGGAAAAAAAAAGAGCAAAAGAAAGTGAAGGCAGGGCCAGAGCAATAGTTCAGAGGTAGGGGGTGTTTGCCTTGCATGTATCTGACCTGGGTTCCATCCCTGGCATCCCATATGGTCCACCAATCCTGCCAGCAGTGATCCCTGAGTACAGAGCCAGGAGTAAGGCCTGAGAACAGCTAGGTGTGACCAAAAACTAAAAAGGATAACGATGATGATGATGATGATGATGATGATGATGATGATGATGATGTTACTAAATTGAAGGCGTGGTAGAATCCCAGGTTTGCTTCATTACAGTGTCAGGGATGCTGCATGTATGCCACCACTTACAGGATAGTTAAGCTCTGGTTAACACTAGCATTATTATCCTATCACTCCCTATTAGGGAAGGAACATAACAGTTTGTTTAAAACATACATATGAATTTAAGTGTGAAGAAACTTAGTTTCTGAACTTAAGGTAACACTCAAACTGATGCTTATAATAATGGAAACAACTCTTAAGTCTGGGGAAAATGTCCAGCATTCTCACCAGCAAAAGCAAAATCTGGCCATTTGGAACATTTCCATGGAGAAAAATTCTCACCTGGATTTGAGCATCAATTTATTTCATCTATAAATATATTTATTTATCTAAGGGTAACTTAACTATCATATTTAAAGTTTAGAGGCTGGGGAGAGAGCTCAGCAGGTTGGAATGACTGCTTTGCATGCAGAAGTCAGGGTCTGAATCCCTGGCACTACATGGTCCCTTGAGCACTGCCACAAGTGACCCCTCAGCTGGAGTGGCACCTGAGTACCCCCAGATGTAACCCCCAAGACAATAAAAATGAACAAATAATAACCTACCTAGTGATTTTGGTGGTGTTGGGAACCCAAAGGGTGTCATGTATGCAAAACAGGCACACTACAGCCCCATCCCCTGCTTAGCATTTAAAGTGTTTTATTAAATTTTTAATTAATAAAAAATATTTATTAAATAAATGGAGTGAATTAAATGGGCTAGAGTGATAGTGCAGCAGGTCAAGTGTTTGTCTTATGCCAGATGTGACCCAAACTACACCCACCCCACAAAAAAAGTTTTATTTTTTGGTTCTTTGGGCCACATCCAGCAGTATCTAGGGGCTACTCCTGGCTCTGTGCTTGAGTGACCTTGTTTGTGATGCCAGGGACTGAACTTGGGTCTCACACATGCAAAGCAAGCCCTTCAGTCCATTGACTTATCTCTCTGGTCCCATACTAACATTTTAAAATTGCTGCTTTAATGACATTTTGTTGAGATTCTGTTGAGACGGAAGCGGTCATGGAAGCCCTAGCCAATCAGGGCGTACAAACTCAATACATCAGGATCCTTCGTGAGCTCTATTGCGGATTCACTACCAAGATCTCACCATTCTACAAAGAAGTAATCATCCATATCAAGAGAGGGGTTCGGCAGGGTGATACCATTTCACCAAAACTCTTCAGTGCCACCCTCGAGAACATCATGCGACGACTAGAATGGGAAAACATGGGAGTGAAGATAGATGGTCGGCAACTACACCACCTCCGCTTTGCTGATGGCATCGTTCTAATAACACCAAACATCAGCCAAGCGGCACAAATGCTGGCCAACTTTGACCGTGAGTGTGGAAAGGTAGGACTACAGCTGAATCTTACGAAGACAATGTTTATGAGAAACAGCCTTGTTCCTGACGCTCCATTTGCTCTCAACGGAACCACCATCTCCGAATGCAACAGTTATATATACCTAGGTCGAGAAATCAACATGATGAATGACCTAGCACCTGAGTTGCGCAGGAGGAAGAGAGCGGCTTGGAATGCCTTCAAGAGCATTGAAGAAATAACTAAAAGGACAAAGAACCTCCAGCTACGAGCACATCTCTTTGATTCCACTATTCTTCCTGCATTAACATATGCCTCAGAGACCTGGACCCTACGAAAACAGGATGAGAACGCTATTCGGGTCTCTCAAAGAGGAATCGAAAGAACTATGCTTGGAATATCTCGATTCACTCAAATGAGAGATAGAATCCGAAGTTCTGATCTTCGTCAACGCTCAAGAATCAGGGACGCTGTCTCATTTGCCAAGACATCAAAAATCAGATGGGCTGGACACGTAATGAGGTTTACAGACAACCGCTGGACTAGAGCCATTACTGATTGGATTCCACGGGACATCAAAAGATCACGTGGACCCCACCTATAAGATGGTCAGACTTCTTCGTCAAGACCCTAAATGATCGGTTTGAGGCTCTGCATGTTCCTAGAACGAACAGATACCATTGGGCTACGCTAGCACGCAACCGGGATGAATGGAGACGTTACTGGCACCCGCTCGAATAAATCGATGAATAACGGGGATTAAGTGATTAAGTGATTAATGACATTTTATTTTTATTTATTATTATTATTTTGGTTTGGGAGCCATACTCAGCTGTACTCTGGGCATTCTCCTAGTTGTTCATCAGGGGCATTATTAGGGGACCATTTGTGGTGCAAGGGATTAAACCTGAGTAGGCCATGGGCAAGACAAACATCGTTCCTGTTGTACTATCTCTCCAGACTCTTATTTTATTTTTAAAAGGGTCGACCCAGAGGTGCTTGGGAGCCCACCAGGTATCCTGGTGATACTCAACATAGCAATACAGACCTGAAGATTTGGGGCTCGGGTTGGCCGTGATATGCTGTGTGGGCCTGGTGGTGCTATGGGTCTAGCAGGACTCTACTCCTCCTTCTGTGGTGAGCCATGTAGAGTGAGGAGCCAAACACAGGACTTGCATATGTGTGGCATTCATGCCATCTTTTGAACTATCTCATAGGGCTCTGAAAGGTTTCAACTCAATTGGCTCATATGAGAAAGAGTTCAATGCAAACAATTTCACCCTCATCTCAGCTTCCTGGGGAGAAACACCTACAACTGCCACAGGCAAACAAGGGGGAACATGGGATGCTGCATGGGAACACACATCACAGATACTCTAAGCTGCCTCTGGGCACAGTGTTATAAGCCATATCCACCCACACCTGGTGTTACAACTTGACTACTTCCCACTCCAGACACGCCTCCCACCTTCCACCACTTTAAAATCACTTACAAGCCGCAGCTCTCCCAACACTTCCTCCACATACAACAGGGATTTTTCAAGACGAGGAGAGACATTTATTAAATTTCTTGATCATGTGAAATATATATAAATATATATACTTATATCAGGCTACTTTTTATTGGGGTGGGGGGAGGCATAGTCTGCAATGCTGAAAAGCACTTCCTGGCTCCGTGCTCAGAAGTGATCCCTGGCAGTACTCAGGGGACCATATATAGTGCCAAGGCTTTAAACCAGGGCCGTGGCTGCCAAAGCTGCCTGCAAGGCAAGTGCCTTACCCCCTGTATGATCTGTCTGGCCCACGTTACCTTGTTTTTAATGAATCACTGGGAACGTTTTTGTTTTTGTTTAATTGGAGGGAGCACTCGCCAGGGATCAAATCTGAGATCCCCACACGCAAAGCATGTGTTCTAGTCCTTTGAACCATATTCCTGGCCTAAGATTTTTTTTTTTTAATCTCACTTTTTCTTTTTTCATAAATACTGTGGTTTTTATTGGACAACCTGACATAGTGCAGAGATCTTTAAGAACATATCATTAACTGAACTGGTTGTATTTCTTACAAACTGGCAGCAGGGCCCAGAGGCCTACTCTGCCAGGAGGTGATTATCCCCTTGGTAGCGTTTTCTCTTAGCAGAGGGTTCCTAACATCCAGCTGTCTCTGGCTTTGTGTGAAGTTAGTTGATACCCAGGAAGCAAATGTCTGGACTCATGATTTCACCGGGGACAGCAAAATGGTGATTTTGTGATATTCTATTTTCTTTTGTTTTCTTTTTGTTTTGGGGTCACACCTAGCAATGCTCAGGAGTTACTCCTGTCTCTGTACTCAAGGATCACTCCTGGCAGTACTCGGGAGACCATGTAGGGTGCTGAGTACCGAACTCAGGTTAGTGCAAGTTAAACACCCTACACACCCTACCTGCTGTACAAGTGCCCCAGCCTTTTTTTTTTTTTATTTTTTAACTGGATATGTTTGTACCCCATTCTTTTCCCATACACACTGGTTTGGGTGGAGCATTCATAAAGATATTGAATGTCCCAGGCTCCTTGAACCTTACTTCTTCAAACCCTTTCACTCACTTCATTATTGAATATCTGTGTTCTACTATTTTGGGGTGGGGTGGGAACCCTGTGGTGCCTGGGATGGAGCGTAGGCACCGAGCACCCAGGCTGGAGCCATCTCCCGGTGGGGATGTGACTTGCTCTGGCTCACCCGCAGATGAGGAGCTAGGAAGAGTGTGCTGCGGCTGCCTGGCTCTCGCCTGCTGTGTTGGGTTTTCTCTAAAATACCTGCTCAGCTCGCTTCGGGGGGTGGGGGGTGTCAATGTTACCAGAGATTTTACATTTTTCTGCCTAATTCTTTTGTTTTTCCTATATTGGGATTTGCTATGCCACTGCCAGCATCACCATATCAGAATCATTGTCATATGATAATTTGTCAATAATCTGGAAGATTATCAGTGCACCAATTTGGAGCATGAGTGGTAAGAGTTCCAAGTCTGAAAAATGCCCATTCCTTGTGACCCTAGAATAACTAATTCTTGGAATTTATCCCACTAGATAATATAAATGAGGAACGGGGTAGGGGAGGGGAGGCTGGAAAGGCTGACAAAGGACTGATATCTTTCTCTCGAGCTCCATTTTAACTCCCATTTTCAGTATGTGCACATTATTTTTATGCAGGGGCTGGAGCGATAGCACAGCGGTAGGGCTTCTGCCTTGCACGCAGCCAACATGGCCGACCTGAGTTCGATTCCTCTGCCCCTCTCGGAGAGCCCGGCAAGCTACCGAGAGTATCTCGACTGCATGGCAAAGCCTGGCAAGCTCCCTGTGATGTATTCGATATGCCAAACACAGTAACAACAAAGTCTCCAATGGAGACGTTACTGGGCCCACTCGAGCAAATCGATGAACAACGGGAGGACAGTGACAGTGATTTTTAAGCAAACAGTATACTATTAACAGTTTAGAAATTATCCTGTTCTGTTCAGTTTGAATCATCAACAAATACATAACTGACTAAATGTAAAGACACATTGGGGCTGGAGTGATAGTGCAGAGGGTAGTGCATGTCACTTGCATGTAGCTGACCTGGTTCCATCCCCGGCATCCCATACGGTTCCCGAGCACCACCAGGAGTAATTCTTGAGTACAGAACCAGGAGCAACCCTGCTCACTGCCAGGAGTGACCCAAAAAGGAGGAAAAAAAATTTAAAGATACATACCTTCAAATGTTGGTCCATAAATGGACTCTCCCCCATCTCCTCTTCCAGCTACTATATCTGAGAAGTAGCAAAAAAGAAACATTAGAATTCTGAGGCTAGAAATGAGAATATAGTAATGGTTGGAAAATGTTTTCAATATGATTCCACTTTTGCCAATGACAAGAATAAACTAGCTATTTGTTCACTATCAGTAACATGAAAATATTGTTATCATTATTTCACTTGTATTTTTTGTAAATACTTTAAATTTATGATCTCATTTTTTCCACATTTATTCTCTGGGTAAGGCTCCATTTCAATGAAAAATGATAAAATAATAAAGTATTAAATTATAATTGTGGTCATGATTTTAAAACATGCTTTATTCCTTGAAACACTCTAGTGATAACTCATTTATTCAGTATTTTAGAAGTGAGTTTCTTTTATAACGTAATGAGATTTTTTAAAAAATGTTTAGTTCTGATTGGCATTATATTGGTTCTGGGTGTTACAACATAATTATTTGATTATTTGTAAAGATTTTGAAACGGTCAGCTATATATAATTACTATTATTTTCTTGTGATGAAAATGTGAGGTTTACTTTCTTTAAAAAATAGGGTGTTTAACCAGTGGAGGGATAAGGGATCATTGCATAATTGAAACCCAAGCACAAAAACGTGTAAGTCTGCAACTGTACCTCATGATGTCTCACTATTAAAAAAAAATTTTAATAAAAAAAATAAAGATAAAAAATAGGGTGTTTATATGAAGTATTCTATATTATATGAATATTTTGTCTTAGGCATTACTCAAACTATAAAAATCCTTCCTGCTCAAGTAATTTTGGTTGGCCCACAAGTAAGCAGGAAACAGGCCAATGCTCATGAAACGGGTCTCAGGCCTGTCTTTGGATCCCCAGATGCTGATCTGGCTCCTCTCTGTGTCCCTCAGTTCTGCATCCTCCAGGAACACAGCATCCCACCACACCTGTGGAAGGCTGTGCTGCTGCAGTACAGGAGGAACCATGAAAATACAAAAAATACGGCTAGGCCACTTGAAAAGAAATCTAGTATAATGGCAAGCATGTGAAGAAAATGCATGTAGGACAGGGTATACCACATTTACACTGGACTACTAAAAAAAACTAGTTCAGAAGTTCACAGATAGGCTCATCTAAGACTCCAACCATCCCCAGCCCTTGGGGGCACTCAGAAGCGAGCTGCAAAGGCTGAAGGCTAAATCCTGGAATGGGGAAATTGAAAGACCCCTAGCACCAATTCTTTCAGGCCTAGGGTTGGCTTTGGGTTTTAACAAATCATCCTAGGTGGTCCCCCCAACCCATCCCACTAACCTGCTTAAACACCAGTGTTACTCCTCTGCCCTGTCCCTATATGTCCACTGTTACATGTGCTTCTGTTTTAGATCTATTTTCTACTCTGTGCTTATTTTCCATCATTTCAATCAGTAACTTCAATTTACTGATTTCACGGTGTGCTTATTTTGCAACATTACAATCAGTAATTTTCCCAGTTATAACCCATCTTGAATTCACTCTTATATAGTCAGTATCATATCTGTACTTCTGATGGTGCAGAATAGCTGCTAGAAATAAACTTTATTCATTTATCTTATTAAGAATGGGAGTCAGATAGAAAGATTGCATTCATCTGGGGAACATAAAGTAACAAAATAGGAGACTAACACCCAAGAATAGCCGAGTTAAGTACCAGGAGGTTTGCTCCATGGCTTGGAGGCCAGCCATACATGCTAGGGGAAAAGGCAGCTCAGAGAGAGAAGGGAGCACCAAATAAAGGGTGTTGGGAGGATCCTCCCAAGATGGGAGAGGCATGCTGAAAGTAGACTATAGACCGAACATGATTGCCACTCAATGCCTCTTTTGCAAACCACAACACCCAAAAGGAGAGAGAGAACAAAAGGGTATGCCCTGCCACAGAGGCAAGGTGGGATGGGGGGGGATGGGGGGTGGGAGGGATACTGGGATCAGTGGTGGTGGAGAATGGGCACTGGTGGAGGGATGGGTACTCGATCATTGTATAACTGAAACCCAAGCACAAAAATTTGTAAGTCTACAACTGTACCTCATGGTATTTCACTAATAAAAATTTTTTAAAAAATGGGAGTCAGGGGGGCTAGAGCGATAGCACAGCGGATAGGGCATTTGCCTTGCATGCAGCCAACCCGGCTTCAATTCCCAGCATCCCATATGGTCCCCCTAGCACCGCCAAGAATAGTTCCTGAGTGCAGAGTCAGGAGTAGGCCCTATGCATTGCTGGGTGTGACCCCCCCCCCAAAAAAAAAGAATGAGAGTGGGATGGGAACCATAATGGTGCTGCTTAGGGGCTTCTTGAACAGTGCTTCAAGGTCACTTCTAGGGATTCTCAGGGGATCATAAACTTCAGGGTTCAAACTCAAGGTCCCTGCATGTAAATTATGTTCTCTGGCATTCTGAGCTATCTCCCTGGCCCTCATTTATTTATTCTTTCAGAAAATATTTTCCAGGTACCAACAACAAATGTCACTCCTGAGCACAGAGTTAGGAATAGCCATTAGACGCCACTGAGTGTTGCCTAAATCACAACCCCTGTTTATTTTTCCACCTAGGCCAGATAGGAGGGCAACAATAGTGAACAAATTACATTAAAAAAAATCTCTGCACCATGTAACTTATTTTCTAGTGAAGATTAACAGACAATATATAAAGTAAAGGCCCTCCCATTGTTCGTCGATTTGCTCGAGCGGGCCCAGTAACGTCTCCATTGGAGACTTTGTTGTTACTGTGTCTGGCATATCGAATATGTCACGGGGAGCTTGCCAGGCTCTGCTGTGCGGGCGAGATCCTCTCGGTAGCTTGCCGGGCTCTCCGAGAGGGGCAGAGGAATCGAACTCGGGTCGACCATGTTGGCTGCGTGCAAGGCAAATGCTTTACCTCTGTGCTATCGCTCCAGCCCAACAGACAATATATAAACTAAGAAATTCATAAGAACATGTCCAGTGGTAAAATTTGCTATAAAGGGGGTATGGTGCCGCTAGCAGGTCTATCTGTACCTGTGAGGCGAATGCATCAGCAGCCTGATGGTGCCTTCAGACTTCCAGATACCCCAAAATTGCTGCTGTGCCTTTGGCCAGACCCTAAAAACTTGGGGCAAAGTTTACCAAGAAAGTAAACGGCCAAAAGTTAGGTATGTAGGAAACACACCCACAAACCACCTCCAGCTCAGCTATATAATTGGAGACATGGCCTATCTGGTTCCTGATCGAACTGCTTAACAGCCATGATCCCAGATACTCAGAAACGAATCTCGAAACCCAACGGCTTTTGGCAGAAATGCGTCTGATCTCTGCGGTAGGTCACCGGTGCTGGGCCAACCCAGGTGGGAATAGGTTTTGTGCCTTGGCCTGTTCCCCCTGGCGGTCCAGTGGTTGTCTTCCTTCTGAGGCCACTGGACAGTCAGGTTTGGGCTCCCAGTGATGAGAAACACAGGGCCTCACGGGATGGGGGTGGAGCCGGTCCTGTCCTCCCCACCCCAACGAGACCCCAAGTCATTGCCCATGAACGGCCTCTCTGGCTCCTGATCAAGCTGCTCAACGGCCATGATCCCAGAGACTTAGGAGCAAATCTCGAAACCCAGTGGCTTTTGGCAGAAATCCCTCCAGATTTAAGTGTTAAAATTTCGGAATTTCAAAATCACATGGTCCTACTGCAGTCACGCAACATCATATGTTATTCAAAACCAGCAACAGAACACAAATTGTCTACTGTTGCCTTTTCAGCAGATCTGCGTGTTGGGGTAAAATCTCAAATAATAATGGTGGGTCTGGTGTCAAAATATTGAATGTGTTCAAAGTAGAGAGAGTAATGTGGAAATCATCTGCCCCACAGGTAGGGGGAGGGTGTGGGATGGGGGTATACTGGGGTTTTTGGTGGTGGAGAATGGGCACTGGTGAAGGTATGGGTGTTTCATTGTATGACCGAGACTTAGACCCGAAAACTTTGTAACTGCTCTCATGGTGATTCAATAAATAAAATTATAAAACATGAAAAAAATTGCTATAAAAAATAAAGCAACATTAAGGTTTAGAAAGGTGGCAGGGCAATGAGTGAGAATAATTATGGAGAGGAAGATGGCAGTTTAGTGTGGAAGATGGAGGGCGAGTCATACTTGTCTGTGCTCAGGGCCTACTCCTGGCACAGGCTTCAGGGATCATTCTGGTAGTGTTCTGGGGACCACATGTGGTGCTGGGGAGAATTGGGCTCTGCTGCATGCAAGGGAAGTACCTTAAGCCCCATGCTACCTCTCAAACTCAAAGATGGCAGTTTTAAGTAAGATGGGCAGTTAAGTCCTTCTGAAATGAACTTGGATCAAAAATTATAAAGATCAAGGCATGAAGCATAGGAATGTCAAGAATAGCTGGGTGAAGGTGTGTATCAGGCAAAGCAATAGCAAAAGACCTCAAGACACACACACACACACACACACACACACACACACACACATACTCTTAATGAGCTTAAGAAATAGCAAGGAAGCCCTGGTGTGTGTGTTCAGCAGTGAGCAGTAATTCACAGATCAGAAGATGAGATGGGGCTGGAAGGCAGTGTAGACTAAGCAACCGGACCCTAAGGGCAGTGACGTCAGTGTCTGAAAGCCATTAACGATACAATAGAAAAATCCCGTTTAGGTCCTGTTTTCCATAATTCTCCACACAATCCTGGGGGAATCTGACATTGGCAGGCCGAATATTTATAAAGCTTGGTGCTCTCACGATAGTATGTCACTGCATCTGTGGCCATAGAATTACCCTATCCTCTGATGAAGAAACTGGTTTAGAGACGTTATGGTACCTTTTCCAAGGTGGGAGCGCTTGTATATATCAGCCTGGATTTGAAATGACATTTTTTCCTGCCTCAACTGTGGGAAACACACCCACAAACCACCTCCAGCTCAGCTATATAATTGGCTGCCACCATGTTTTGGAAAAATGACTCAAGATCTGTGCACCGCCCACTTTGATGAATTTTTGCAGGGTGAGGAGGACTAATTCAAACACTAGCCAGGGCCAGGAAAAAGGTCAAAGGGCTAAAACACATGCTTTTGTATATGGCAGTGTTGATTTGATCCCAATACTCCACAGTCCCCTGAGCATTGCCATGAGCTACCCCTGAACACTGCCAAATGTGGCCCAAAAGCCAAAAAAGTTTTCAAGAAAAAAAACATGAAACAGAACAAAACAAATGGTATTAAAGAGCTTGACACCTAAGAGTTAACAGTAAACTCAGCACCAGGAGACCTTGATACTGGATCACTGAGAGATGTTTTTATAGGAACTCCAAGTAAAAAACAATCTGTATGTTCCCTGATGGGCTGGAGCCATACCACAGCGGGTAGGGTGTTTGCTTTGTATGTGGTCGGCCTGGGTTTGATTCCTACATCCCTTTCGGAGAGCCCAGCAAGCTACCAAGAGTATCCCACCCACAGGGCAGAGCCTGGCAAGCTCCTTGTGGCGTATTCGATATGCCAAAAACAGTAACAAGTCTCACAATGGAGACGTTACTGGTGCCTGCTCTAGCAAATCAATGAACAACGGGAGGATAGTGCTATAGTGCTAAGTTCCCTGATGGGAAATTAACTATGTCAGTATAACAATATGATAGAAAAATTAGGTAGTTCCTAAAAAACATCATGTTTATGTTTACTGGCAGGAACATAAATACCATGTGTATTAAACAAATAATAATAAATCTAGGTAACAGTATAAGTGTCAGTGATTTTAGAGAAAAATCAGGGAGGAAAAGCAGTCAATTTGCAAACAAGGTGGTTGGATAGGTGCCAGAGCAATAGTGCAGTGGGTAGGTTGTTTGCCTTGCACACAGAAGACCCAGGTTCGATCCCTAGCATCCTATATGGTCTCTGAGCACCACCAGGAGTAATTTCTGAGTGCAGAGCCAGGAATAACCCCTGAGCTTCACTGGATTTTCACCCAAAAAGCAAAAAAAAAAAAAAAAAAGCTGGATAAAATCTTCTCTTTTTATTTTGGTGGCAGGGGGCATTGGGCCACACCAGGAGGTTCTCAGAGCTTACTCCTGGCCCTTTGCTTAGGGGTCACTCCTGGTTGGGTAAAAGGTAAAGGTAAAGGCCCTCCCGTTGATCGTCGATTTGCTCGAGCGGGCCCAGTAACGTCTCCATTGGAGACTTTGTTACTGTGTCTGGCATATTGAATACTCTCGGTAGCTTGCCAGGCTCTCCGAGAGGGGCGGAGGAATCGAACTCGGGTCGGCCATGTTGGCCGCTTGTAAGGCGAATGCCCTACCGCTAAGGAGACCATATGAGATGCCAGGGATTGAAGCCAAGTTGGTCACGTGCAAGGCAAGTTCTCTACCTGCTATATTGTCTCTCCAATCCCATTAATCTACATTTTTATCTTCATTAATCTCAGAACACTGAGTGTATAAGGATAATCAAAATAAAATATAAATTAAGTAATAAATAAAATGAAAAAATTCAAGGCTTTAAGTCAAACAAATCTTCTTTACTAAGTCAGTTATTTTTATTTTACTTGCTTCCTACAGGATTATTTTTCAAGACATGAACATTTTAATTTTAATTATACATTTAATCTGTGTAAAGCTGACAAACTGACTAGAAAAGAAAGTAAAAGTGGAGCTAGAGAGCTAATCAAGAGGCTAAGGCACATGATTCAAATGGGACTGATCCTAGTTCAATACTTAGCACCACACGGTTCCCTAGCACCACAGTCACCGGCACTGCCTCTCTGGACCTTGCAATGAACCTCCTTTTGGGAGACCAAAAAAAGGAAGGAAGGAAATAGAGGTCAGAGGAAGGAAAAGAGAAAGAGAGAGAGGAAGGAAGGAAAGGGGCGAAAGGGAGGAAGGGAAAGGCTATCGCCTCAGCTCCTGACATTATTTTTAAATTTTTTAATATTCATGATAAATTTATTTTAATAAATGGGAAATAAATTTAAAAGGTATATTATTCATCATTTTGCCCTATAAAATGTATTTACTTTAAATATATTTAACACCAAATGTGTGATCTTCATTCTCTGTGCATTTTAAAACCAAGGTAGAGAAAACACATGTTGGACATTCTGGTCTGATCTTGCATCTAGATTGTATTTAATATTTTGACTCACCTCCTCCTTGTATCCAACCATTTGGTACTACTCGATGAAAAATTGAGCCTACATAATGTAGCCTGATGCCACTGGGAGAAAAGCCTGATTTTCCCGAGCACAAGAGCTGAAAATTTTTACATGTTTTGGGACACGCATCACTGAAAAGCTACAAAATAAAGATAAAGTGTTTCAGAGATTAAATATTTAACATTTTGATAGGTACAAATCTCTATCACTAGACTTGTTAAAAAAAACCCTCTTACCTCAAAAATCAATCTTCCTACTGGATTAAAATCAATAGAAATGTCCAAGTACACAAACTTATGCTATCAGAATTAGGAGGGGGAAAAAAAAGACAGGTCAATGGCTTGAAGAAAGATTTAGAAATGATCAAAACTATAATAGAATAACAGTTATTTCAACAGTACTAATAGTGGATTAACAGATATAAATGTGTTTCCTTTACTATATAATGCATTTACAACCTAAATACCACACTAACGGAACCATTAGTGGTGGAAGCTGGGAGTAATATTACCTTATCACACAAGACTAGGTATCACAGCAGTCATTTCCTTTGGGAAAAGCAACAATTTGGATATTCCTTTCTTTCAGGGATGATGTGGCAAAATAGTCAACCTGAGTGCTGTGGGTTTGGTTACCGTGTACTCAGATCAGAGCTGGCCTAGATCAGCTAAGCAGATCCAGGCCTCATCCTTTCTGCAGCAAAATAAGGCCAGGGTGCACAGAGAAAGTGTAAACTGGGAGCAGCAAGAAGGCACTGTGCTGCCGGGTAGTTTCAACCATGCCCCATGCTCTCACTTGGCATGGACATATTTTCTGGTAGAGACAACGAGGCCCTGTGAGACCTTGCCCACCTACGAAGAGGTATCAAAAGAAAAATCACTACCACCACAGCATTGTTTGGAGAAGCAAAGACATCAGATGGAATGTATTTCTTAGCTGAAGCATCGCTTTTTTTTTCATTATTAGTGAAACACCATGAGGTATGAGTTATAGACTTACAAACGTTCGTACTGGGGTTTCAGTTATACAATGATCGAGTACCCATTCCTCCACCAGTCCCATTCTCCACCACCAATGATCCTAGTAGCCCTCCCACCCCCACACTCCAGCCCCTCCACCCCACCCCATCTCTGTGGCAGGGCATTCCCTTTTGCTCACTCTTTCCTTCAGGGTCTTGTAGTTTGCAATAGAGGTACTGAGTGGTCATTGTGTTCGGTCTATAGCCTACTTTCAGCATGCATCTCACATCCCAAGCAAGTCCTCCAAACATCCTTTACTTTACATCCTTTACATCTCTATCTGAGCTTCCTTTTCCCCCAGCATGTGCTGCCGGCTTCCAAGCCCTAGAGCAGACCTCCTGGAACTTATCTCAACTGTTCTTGGGTGTTCGACTCCGATTCTGTTACTTTATATTCCCCAGATGAATGCAGTCTATGTCTGTCCCTCTCTTTCTGGCTCATTTCACTTAGCATGATATTACCAAGTAGAACCACTTGTATGTAAATTTCATGACTTCATCTTTTCTAACAGCTGCATAGTATTCCATGTACCAAAATGTACCAAAGTTTCTTTAACCAGTCATCTGTTCTCGGGCACTCGGGTTTTTTCCAAATTTTGGCTATTGTGAACAGTGCAGCAATGAACATAGAAGTGCAGATGTCATTTCGACTGTACTTTTTTCCTTTCCAGGATATATTCCCAGGAGTGGTATTGCTGGGTCAAACGGGAGCTCAATTTCTAATTGCTTGAGAATCATTCATACTGTTTTCCAAAAGGGCAGAACCAGTTGGCATTCCCACCAGCAGTGAAGGAGGATTCCTTTCTCGCCATATCCGTAACAATACTGGTTTCTTTTGTTCTTTCGGATGTGGGCCAGTCTCTGTGGTGTGAAATGATATCTCATTATTGTTTTGATCTACATCTCCCTGATGATTAGTGATGTAGAGCATTTTCTCATGTGCCTTTTTGCCATTCGGATTTCTTCTTTGAGAAAGTTTCTGTTCATTTCGTCGCCCCATTTTTTGATGGGGTTAGATGTTTTCTTCTTGTGGAGTTCATGAAGCATCATTCTTAGAAATACATAATGCCAGAGGTATTGTGCCACCAACAGGTTAATATGTACCTGTGAGGCGAGTTTATCAGCAGCCTGATGGCACCGGCAGACTTTCAGATACCCCAAAATTGCTGCTGTGCCTTTTGGCCAGACCCCAAAAACTTGGGGCAAAATTTGCCAAGAAAGTAAACCACCAAAAGTTAGGTATGTGGGAGATACACTCACAAACCACCTCCTTCTCAGCTATATAATTGGAGGCGTGGCCGCTCTAGTTCCTGATCCAACTGCTTAATGGCCATGATTCCAGAGACTCAGAAACAAATCTTGGAACCCAAAGGCTTTTGGCAGGAATGTGTCCTGTTCCTGCAGTAGGTTACTGGCGCTGGGCCACTCCAGGTGGGAATAGGTTTCATGCCTTGGCCTGTTCCCCATGGCAGCCCGGTGACCGCCATCTTCCAGAGGCACTGGACAGTCAGGTTTGGGCCCGCAGTGACGAGACACGCGGGGCATCACCAGATGGGGGTGGAACCGGCCCTTTCCTCCCCACCCCAACGAGACCCCGAGTCACTGCCTACAAACAGCCTCTCTGGCTCCTGATCAAGCTGATTAATGGCCATGATCCCAGAAACTCAGAAACAAATCTCAAAACCCAGCGTCTTTTGGCAGAAATGCATCTGGACCACATATAAGGTGGCTGCCGCCTCAGAGCTTATTGGAAAGCCAGATATAAGCCGGCAGTGACGGGGCAATTGCAGTCTCATGGGAAGGAGGGGTGGTACCGGCTCGTCCTTCACACCCTACCAACGTCACGAGTTGCCCCCCACGAGCAGCTCTCTGGCATGGCCATGGCTCCACAGACAAAAGGACTTAATCCAGAGCCCGGCAGCTTGAGGCAGAAAAGTGGACCATGCGTTAAACTATGGCACCATGCCTCCCCAGGAGGGAAAGGGTGTTGCTCCTTTCCGCCTTTTCCCCCCACAGCAGCAAGGTGGCCGCCGCCTCAGAGCTTATAGAAAAGCCAGGTATGAGCCAGCGGTGACGGGGCAACTGCAGTCTCATGGGAAGGGGGACGGTACAGGCTCATCCTTCACGCCCTACTGAGGTCACAAGTTGCCCCCCACAAGCAGCTCTCCGGCACAGCCATGGCTCCAGAGGCAAAAGGACTTAGTCCAGAGCCCAGCATCTTGCAGCAGAAAAGTGAATGGACCATGTGTTAAACTACAGCGCCATGCCTCCCTGGGAGGGAAAGGGTGTTGCTCCGTTCCACCTTTTCCCCCCGCAGCAGCAAGGTGGCCGCCACCTCAGAGCTTATATGAGCCAGCAGTGACAGGGCTACTGCAGTCTCATGAGAAGGAGGGTGGTAGCGGCTCGTCCTTCACGCCCTACCGAGGTCACGAGTTGCCCCCCATGAGCGGCTCTTCAGCACAGCCATAACACCAGACACACAGACACCAATCTCGTAATCATCTGGCTCTTTGCAGAAATCTAAAATCGCGCGGCTGCGATAGCAGTCACAGGACTTTGTATGATTCTCATAACCAACTATAGAAAACAAAGTATTTCACAATGCCTTTTCAGCAATTCTGATTGTTGGGGGGGGGGGGAATTCTAAACAATAATGGTGCATCTTTTGTCAAAACGATGAATGTAATCAATGTAGAGAAGAGTTAAGTGGAAATCATCTGTCTCACAGACATTGGGAGGGGTGGGAGGGGGGTATATTGGGGTTCTTGGTCGTGAAAAATGAGTACTGGTGAAGGGAAAGGTGTTTGATCATTGTATGATTGAGATTTAAACCTGAAAGCTTTGTAACTTTTCCCAGAGTGATTCAATAAATAAATATAAGAAAAATAAATAAATAAAATTATGAAAAAAAAGGTGGAGTTTATGCCCATTTCAATCAGCTAATCAGTGGCTGAATAAATAGCAGTACTCCTACATAAAAAAAATACATAATGCCACCCAATATCACAAGGTATGGCATTGCCCTCTCTTTATTCTTGATAATCTAGAAAATCCAAATATTGTTATTACTTTAGTTTTGGGGTCAAAAGTTATTTTTCGAAGTGATTTCAGTGAAGTGTTCAGTCTCAGGACCATCCTGGGTAGCATCCTGGCAGCAGGTTCCTGGGGTGTGACTCTGGCCCTGTCTTTCCTGCAGACATGCCTTTCTTGGCTCCCACTTGCTTTCCAAGGCTGGTTCTCCAGCTCTTTTCTGGAATGGGAGGTTGTCATCAGCCCTTTAATATACACTTTCCCTCCTGAAGTTAACTGGAGCATCCTGGTCTTGTTGGCACCAAGAACTCTGATAGCTATTAATGTCCCTCTGCCTCACTTCCCACTGGTTCTGGTCTTCCTTAGGTCCCCTAATATTCCCAGAGTATACCACAGATATCTATTCCTCCAGGAAATTAACTATCAGTATTCAATTCCAATCTCCTTTCTAGAAATTCCCATTGCATAGCTTAGGCAACAATTCACTGAGGGCCTACTGCTTTTCAGGTTGTTTGAGGCAGTGGTTACATGAGATGAAGGAAACAAGGTTTGCATGGCTCTGAATTTTGTACTGGGTCTTTCTGTCGATAAAGGCAGAGGCCACCACCGGAATCCCCAAGGCCAGTTCCACTACTCTCAAAGGGGCTGATCAATTGAGAGATAAAGTGGCAGAGAGAGAAAAGCTTTATTCACAGGGGGCTTGCTGGTTGGGAGATGACAGATTTAGTCCTTGAGAATCATTTTGCCTGCATGGTTCAAGAAGATGTTTGTACAGAAAAAGGATAAGGAAGTCGATTGGTTTGTATATACAGTCTATACTGTTTGTATAGTGCTGGCGATTGAATCTAGGGTCTTAAGGCTTGTGCTTTACTACTGAGCCACATCCCAAGACCAGGAAAGTCCTCAGAGGAGGCAGATTGTAGGCTGCAGACACTAGGGTGGACCATTAATTCCCTTGTAGGCAACTCCTCTGAGGTATACTCCCATGTACTGGTAACTCCTAAAAACTAATGAAGGGTTTTGCCTATACTTTACATCTTCCTCATATAGACACAGACTTCTTTTTTTTTTTTTTTGCCTTTTGGGTCACACCCAGCAGGGATTACTCCTGGCTCTGCACCCAGGAATTACTCCTGGTAGTGCTTGGGGGGACCATATGGGATGCTAGGAGATGAACCTGGGTCGGTCGCATACAAGGCAAATGTCCTACCTGCTGTACATCGACCCTCATATAGACTTCTGAAGGAAAGGCAAGATCAGGCAGACATTCTTACATTCTCCAAAGTTTACACACAGTGTTTGGCAGTTTAATGTTGTGTTTAGCTCTTAGTTCCATTTGGGTCAGGTCTGCCCAAGATCCAGAAATACTTTTCAGCATATGGCAGCAACGCACTTGATCTCTACAGCTTTTTTGCCCTGATATGTGTCTCTAGCTTTCTAGCTTCGTGGCTATCTTCCACCACTGGAAATGGAAACATTACCAGTGCCATACCTACTGCAATCCTGCTCCTGGAAACCATTGGTCAGCTTTAAACTGACACCTTTTCTTTTCCATCAAACTTTCCATCGCTCTTAGTGATGTAGCTCTCAAATTAGATGTTAGAAAGTATTAATTAAAATATTTCATGTTAAATACAAATAAGTAATAAGCTTCTTGGGGTGATCCTTTGTTGTTCAAATGTCCACTTAACTAGCTAATTTATGCATATAACCTCTCCAGGAGAGCAGAAATGTCTGAACAGGGTGCCTGCTCCCGTGCAGTCAGCTCTGTGAAGGAGGCTTACTTCACCCATCACCAAGCTGAATCCTGCCATCTAATAAGGTTTTGCAATTAAGTGATAAGGTCACTGAAAACTTAAATCTACACATTTGCATTTCCTTTACTAGGAGATCTATAGTTAATGCTAAATCAATATAATTGATTAAACATTCCACTATTTTTATTATAAAATCAATGTAACTTGCCTTGGTTTCTCTTAAGAATTTAGCAGAAAAATCCATGGTGAGTGCTTCATAAAGTGCAGGGGCCTTAAATTCAAGTATATTCCACACCTTATGGGCCCATTTCTGGAGCTCACTAGCATCACCCAGGAGCTTGTCATTAACAAAACACATAACATGGGAATAATATGCCCAGACTTCGCTCTTTAGTTCCTACAAAGGAAAAAGACAGACAGGTACACACACACACACACACACACACACCCACACACAAACACACACACACAAAATGAGGCAAAATAAAACTAGAAGCAAAAGTCCCCACTGAATCTACATGTAGGAATGAATCTTTCCAAGTATTTTTTGGGAGGCCCCATATTTTAGAATTTGCTCTCAGACAATTTAAGAACATTAGCAACAGTTTGCTACTGCTGAAAGCAAAGAAAACCTAAAGAAATGGTATAATCACAGAAAATGGATGATACTCTGTTAATAAAGATTCATGTGCATAGCATATTATTGACTTGAAAACAAAACACAATCTCTAATTTTATTTCTGTAGCATGTTTTTGTGTATATAGACCTGAAAAGTTTGTTTTTGTTTGGGGGCCACATCTGGTGGTGTTCAGGGTTTCCTTCTGACTGTGTGCTCAGGGTCACTCCTGGAAGGGTTCAGGAGACCATATGGAGTGCCTGAGGTTGAACCCAGGTTGGCAGTGTGCAAGGCAGCTGTAATTGCCTGTTGTACTATCGTTCCAGGCCCGGGCTCAGGGTTCTGACTAACACTAATGTCCCTTATCCACTAGTGAATCTGCACCAAAATCCCACAGAGATTGTCTGAAACTGCAGATAGGACACCCCTCTCTACATACTCAAACATTGGGTATGAAATGCAAGATCTTTCTCACCCTTGAATAATGAAGGACTGAGAATAAAAGAAATGAACAGAAAAGATCTAAGGTTTTGGTGTCTGGTCTGGGGGTTCTGAAACCAATCTCAAACTTTAATTGTATTTAGGTTTGGGGGTATGTGCCAAGTTATACAAGAACTGTTCAGAGGGGTATCCGCCAAGTTATACAAGAACTGTTCAGAGGGGTATCCGCCAAGTTATACAAGAACTGTTCAGAGGGGTACCCCCTAGCCCAAGCTGTGTTTAGGGTCAACTGTACTATTTTTTTCTTACGCATTTACACCTATGACAGTGTTTCATTTAAAATTTAGTACAAAAATAAATAAATAAATATGGGACAGAAGAGATTAAGAACACTACTAGTGATAAAACAATTAGAATCTCAGAGTGCCATAAAAGGTATGTGAGTGTGGGTCAGAGATATGGCTCAGTGGGAGAATACATGTCCATGAGTGTGAAGGACTGGGATTGATCCCTAGCACCACATTAAAAAAAAAAAAAGAAAAGCCTGTGTGTTCTCATCCACACGGATTCCAGTCCATCCCCTCAATCCCAGCGTAAGACCCTGAGAACAACTCCTCAGAGACCTGATTTATCTGCAAATCCCTCCATTAACAGACAATCAGAATGAGATTCCTCAGCCCCAAGGAGTTTCTGATTCTGGCTGGATCCTGAGAATCTGCATTGCAGACTTCATTCCGTGGGTGGCCACAGGTTTGAGGAACAAGTTTCCTTCTCTTGTCAATGTGCTCCATTCCTAGATCCTCTCTCAGAATATCCAATCCATTGCTCCTTCCCTGGCCTTTACCAAAACCTGCTCTGCGGGAGAGACTAAATGTATTCATGCTAAACAGTCAATCACCGACACAGCCTCTGATTAACATTTGTATTAGTGTTTTACCTTGTACCAGGCACAAATCTTTTTTGTTTTTGTTTGGGGGGGTGACATGGTGTGGTGCTCATGGTTTACTCCTGCTCTGTGCTAAGGAATCATTTGTGGTGGTTCTCATAGAGAGTCACATGTGGGATCACACTGGGTTAGCTGCATGCAAGACAAGTACTTTACTGATTATTCTATCTCTCCAGTCCCCAAAACTTAAAAAAACTGTTTTTAAGTTTGGGGATCAGTCAGCAGTGCTCAGGGGTTCATGCTTACTGGGAATCAAACCCATTTTCCAATATGCAAAGCTTCCAATATGATAGCTCAGGCCACTGAGCTATCTCCCAGCTCTGGGCACAACACTTGTAAAAAGAGGAGAAAAGGTTGCATTGTAGATATTTCAGGTAGCTGACAGGAGAAATACAGTACAAGATACACTTTATCCAGAGGCCAGGACTTGCATGCCTTGTCTTCTGTACGTGTGCAAACTGCTTTGCCTGTCTTAAGATAGGGGGCAGAACCCAATGGTTTTGCACTGTGATATGAGAAGCTACCTTTTGGATATAAAGAGCTTCCCAAAGGCTGGGAAGTTATTGTATAGGGATAGATTACTTCTGCTGAAGTAGCAGTCAGCCTACCTGAGCAGAGCAGATCTAGCCCCCAGGATGCCAAGAAACATCATACAAGGCACAAGATGTGATGTAATATAGCAGGAAGGACCGAAGAGGAAGAGAAGGAGAAAGGGAGATGTACCCAGAAGACTGAGATAGGAGAAACAAGAAAAAACAGATGAAGAATAAAAAAATGGGTGGAAATCAGCCCAATCAATGACTGAATAAATAGCAATACACCTACATTAAAAATAAAAATGGGGCGAAAGGAGGAACAGGGGTCATCCTGAAAGGCTCATTCTGGTCCTGTGAGACAAGCAGGAGGAAGAGGAAACAGAGTACCCCCAGGTCAGTGTGGGAAACTGCAGGAGGGAATCTACACTGATCTTTAAGCGGACTACTGGTGTCCGTGCAAAGCACAGAGCAGGAGATCCTAAGTGTAATGACCAACACTAAGAAACACAGTTTTATGTGACCAACTGTCATGGTTTGCCCAGCATTGTCTCAGAGCACTTGTTTCTGCATCTCTGCATGTTCCCCAATTCCAGGCAAATCAGGACCAACCATGGGACACCTCTGATACCGTAAGCATTCGAGTTCACATATGTGAGTGTGTGTGTGTGTGTGTGTGTGTGTGTGTGTGTATGTGTGTGTGTTTTCTATTTGAATCCAAGTGAATATGTATTTGGGGGAGGACAGTGGTATGGGAGTGAATAGTTGGTTCACTTACATCAGCTCTGCTGTGGGGCTTAGCAGAGTGTGAAGTGACCTGAAAAAGCAGCCCTGTCCCAATGGTGACAGGACGCCATGTGCAACCAAGCACAGAACCACTGAAACTAATCCATGGAAATGGGATTTCATCAGCCTCTGGGGACTTGGGATGAGAAAGGGAAACCAGAACTGTGACTCTTCAGGACTGGGCTCAGGGAGACAAATGAGAGGCTCACCCATGCCACCCTCCTCCAACATGAGACCTCATTAGGTCAGGACATCACCTTAGAATCCTCATATCCCACGTTCCAGATAGGGCTGGCACCCCCGAGGAAACCTATCTGCAATCCCTGGATAAATTCCACTGGCTCAGGATCTGAGTCTCCCAGTGGGCCACTGCAGGGAGCAGAAGAGAAGGAAGTTCCACTGAGGATTAGACTAAGTCCTCCCGGGTAAACACAAGCCCCAACTCAGTCTGTGCCATCTATGCCTACACAGAGACCTGCAAGGGTCAATAGGATGTCCAGCTGCAGTGACCTGAGAGACAGGGGTCACAGGAAGTGTAAGTGATGTACAGAAAGAGGAATAATCACAGCTGGGGTAAAGAGCAGCACTGAGAATTTACTGATTTACTTATTTTTGTTTTTTGTTTGATTTTGCTTTTTGGGTCACACCCAGCGATGCACAGGGGTTACTCCTGGCTCTGCACTCAGGAATTGCTCCTGATGGTGCTCAGGGCACCATATATATGGAATGCTGGGAATCAAACCTGGGTTAGCCATGTGCAAGGTAAATGCCCTACCCACTGTGCTATTGCCCCAGCCCCATATTTACTTATTTTTAAAAATGATCTTGGTTTGGGGGCCATACCTGGTAGTGCTCAGGACTTACTCCTGGCTCTGTGTTCAGGATGCCTGTTGAATCTTGGGGGAGCAGATGTGGTGTGGGGACTGAACCCAAATCAGCTGTTTGTAAAGCAAGTGCCTGAACCCACTGTACTCGCTCTTGTCAGTGTGGCACCAAGAATTTAAAACACCTTTATTCAATGCCTTCCAAAAGAACATACTGTAAATGTTTTTCCTTAAGATTGACCTGGTATTGAAATAATTTAGGAAAAGGGCTTCATTTTGAGAAATAAAATCTAGATGCTTCTAGTTTCCCAAAAGTTCACAGAAAAGCAATTCAGACAAAAAGAAGATTGTTGGTATCTCCCATACCCGAAATATCCTTTACCCTTTTTCTCTCCTGTAAATATTGATCCCATGCAAATTCTTGGAGAGGAACTATTATAGGATCTTCAAATTTGGATGGATGCTGCTTCTTCAGATTCTGGATATTAAAACAGAATAATTGTTTTAGTGCAATTCTCTTTTAAAGTAGGAATTGTTTCCTCCAATTATATGGGGACGACAATAAGTTGTGTTTTGTTTGCTTTGTCTGTGCCATACCCTGTGTTGTCCAGGGGCTACTCCTAGCTCTGTGCTCCTGGGTCTGTTCAGGGACTACTCTTGGGATTGGAGCCTCCTGCATACAGAACATGCTATGTGTCTTCAAGCCCCACAAGGGGGGAAGTTTTCAGCAGTACACACACACACACACACACACACACACACACACACACACACACACCACTAAGTGTTCTCAGAGGCACCTGTGCTCCTTAAGTCACTACCACCTCCTCAGCCCACCCTGGAGGGCAGGTTTCTGTATCTTTCATCTGTACAGGAGAAACTCCCTGAAAACAAAGACTACATCTTAATTCCTACACTCTCCCCAGCTTCAACACCTGATGCGTAGTACACCATCCAGAGAGCAAGTAAATAAACAAGTGAGCAAACAAATAAATTTATGCCAAGGTTTGTGACCATCCATGTTCTTTGGAAACCATTTTTTTTCATAAATTAAAACTCTTACATTTTGATTTAGCTGTTGAGTCCCGCCTGACAGTGCTCAGGGGCTACTCCAAGCTGTGTGCTCAGGGATCACTCCTGGCAGTACTTGGGGATCATGAGGTGTCAGGGACTTAATCCCAGCCTCCAGCATGCAAGACATCTCTCTAACCACATACTTTCAACTAAAATAAATAAATGTCATCACTTTAATTCACTGCTTTGTGAAGAACAGTCAAAAGGATATTGTCGTAGTTATCCTACCCCCTTGAAAAAGACAATACTAAATATGTTGATTTAGATACACAGCTCTAGAGAATATTGGGTTTAACATGTATTGTCCTGCCTGTATTAGAGAAAATTCTGCCTTAACAAGTTTCGATTTCTGGTGTTACATTTGCCTGCTCCTATACAAGAAAAGTGTCTTGGAGTGTCTGAGGGAAGAAAGACTGGCAGGGAGAAGAGATAGTGGGCCATTACACCTGGAACCTTCTCCTCTACAGATGTGTGTTGAGTTCTATGAAGGTTGCAGAGGGCACTGGCCTGGCCTACTTGATCCAGGGTGGAGAGTGCAAGGGAGAGAAAGGCAGGACACAGTACCAGAGTAGCAGAAGAGGCCACTAGAGGGCTCCTTCTTTCTACAACCTTGTAACTATCCTAGACTAGAAACTTTTTCCTTTTCTAATTCTGTGCCCAGGCTGAGGCAATATTGTTGGATGATTGCTGCTCCTAACAGAGGAACCATCTAGAACAACTAACAAACCTAAAAGATGTGAGTATGTTTTTTCTTTAGTTTGGTTTTGGGGTCACAGTCAGCTGCGCTCAGGGTTTACTCCCAATCTAGGCTCTGGGTTTACTTCTGGTGGGGCTCAGGCGACCCCATGAGGCGCCAGAGCTTGAAGTAGGGTTGTCTGCGTGTAAGATGAACACCTTACCTGCTGCTGTACTATCTCTCCAGTGCCAAAGTCTGAAAGGTTTTCAACAAAGCAAACTTAATCACACCTTCTTCATGATTTAGTGTTTGCTCTAGAATGGACTACAGCCAAATTAGGAGACATGCTATACTTACTCTTCACAAATCTAAATCTTTGTCATTAATTAGGCTTCTGGGATTGCCCACATTATACCAGAATGGAAATAAATTTCCTTTCATTAAGACCCTTTATTAAGCTAGAACTAAATTTATATTGGTAAGCTTTCCTATTCAAGTAGAGTTGCAATTGGCAAAAGCATAAAAAAAGGGAAATTAGAATCTGGATTCAAAGGGCTTTAGTGAGTAGTTTCCATGTGGGAGGCCTGAGTTCAGTCCCCTACCACTGTTAGAAGAGACCTAAATATTGAGTCGGGCATAGTCTCTGAGCAGCACCAGCTATAGCCCGAAGACCAAAGGGAAAAAGAAAAAATTAACACTATTAATTAAAACACTATTGAGAAGGATGGGTATCTTAATACTATAGAGTTATTTTATTGAATTTGTGTCTGCAACTGGGATCGAGCAATTGTCCCCAGTGGACTATATCTGAACCACCACCTGTTTTTTTTTTCTTTTTTTTAGGGGAGAGCATGAACACAGTTTCCCACTACCACAAATTATACAGTTACATTGCCCACATTTGGGGTCAAAACATCCGGAATGAAGTCAAATGTAATGGACAAGCCTTGCCCTGGGAAAAACACTGTTGAGATCATGGTATCTCACTTCTGGGTTAAGTGTTCCTTTGCTTTATTTTTAGTTTAGGCTTTTGGGCCACGCCTGTTGGTGCTTAAGGGCTACTCCTGCCTCTGTGCTAGGGGTCACTCTGTGCTCAGGACACAACACGGTGCAGGGAGTTAAACCAGGCTACCTGAACACAGAGCCTGCACTCAGCCCATTAAGCTATCTCTGGCCTGCACAGTCTGGTTTTGATGACTTGAGAGATGGGCTGGGGCAATAGTACAGTGGGTAGGACATTTGCCTTGCATGCGACTGACCCAGGTTCCATCCCCAGCATCTCATATGGTCCCCTGAGCATTGCCAGAAGTGATTCCTGAGTGCAGAGCCAGCCAGGAGTAACCCCTGAGCATTACTGGATGTGGCTCAAAAAGCAAAAATTAAAAAATAAAATAAATTAAAAATAATTTTTAAAAAAGATTTGAGAGCCAAAAAGAAATGTTTGTTTTTAAGCAGTTGAAAAAAAACTTTTGCAAAGATCCTATCTGATGGCTTGCGAAATCATATTCGAGTCAGACTTCAGTGTCCATAATGATGTTTTGTTTATTTACAAGCTGTGAGCACTTTCACATGGCAGGAACAGATCTGAGTAGGTATGACTGAGAGCACATGACCCAGAGGCCTAATAATATCTGACTTCACAGGAAAAAAATTTTTGCCAATATGACCAGAGATATAGTACAGTGGGTAGGGCATTTGCCTTCTGGGACCACATATGGTCCCCCAATCACCCCCAGGAGTGAACATAGTGGCAGGACATCCCTGAGCATTGCTAGAGGCTCTGCACCTTCCCCCTAAATGGCCAATGACTCTACAAGGAAGAGTGGGCACTAATAGGTGCTTTCAGAAAAAGGAGCTAAGAAAAACAAGGCAAGTAAAATCCCGTAAAGTCACGAAATGTTTTTTGAGCCAAAAACCTTCACAGATCACATTCAGTCCAGCTAACACAATCTTTAATTTCTACTAATTTTGATAATTCCAGTGTGATTTTCACAGACTTACGATTACATTATTTCTGCATCTTAAATTACCACTTTCCTGATTTAACTACAAAATTTTCTTTACCTGTGGATTTGGAGCAGCCAAGCAGGAATTTTTTAAAAATTTTCTCAAAGCAAGAGTACAGTGAGCAGGGCCCCTTCTCTCTCTCTCTCTCTCTCTCTCTCTCTCTCTCTCTCTCTCTCTCTCTCTCTCACACACACACACACACACACACACACACACACATACACATACACACACAAATCTTTCATTTGGGGGCTGAAGTGATAATTTAGCAGGTAGGGGACTTAACTTGCATTCATCTGACATGGGTTCGATCCCCAGGATCCCATATGGTCCCTTGTGAACTGCCAGGAGTCACTCCTAAGTTCAGAGCCAGAAGTAACCCCTGAGCATCCCTGAATGTGGTCCAAAAGCCTTTTTTACAGGGCTGAAGCAATAATACAGTGGTTAGGGCATTTGCCTTGCATGCAGCAGACCAGGGTTCAATCCATAACATCCCATATGGTGCCCAGACCACAGCCAGGAGTAATACCTGAGTGCAGAGCCAAACCTCTGGGCATCACCTAGTGTGACACAAAAAGCAAAAACAAAAACAAAACAAAACTTTTTTCATTTGAAAACATTTTTTGTCAAGTTTCTACTGGTACGTTAGAAGAAACAAACAAACAAACAAACAAGGCAAAATGGTTTTTGGGGTGGTACTGGGAACTGAACCCAGAGCCATTCATGTACGCAAGGCAAATGTCCTATGCCCAAGCCACATCCAGTTTCTTCTAGTATGTAGCAGTATCTCTGAAGCTCCACTTTAAAGTGGAGCAGTATCTCTGAAGCACATCTCTCTTACCCACATGCTTAATTGTAGATTAGCATGTCATAGGTTTACATCTCGTGCATTCAGGTTATTCAGTCAGCACTACTGACTTAACCAAATTCTTCCAACTAGTGTTTTTATGTTATTTTTCTGCATGTTTGTGAAGATGAGATTCATTGTTCACACACCTGCAGGGAATTTATTACTGGTTGGAGAGACAGCTCAGCAATCTGGAGTATGAGCTTCCCACACCAATCTCAGTCAGAAGTGACACCCAAGCACCCAACCTAGAGTAGTTCCTGGCACTGCCAACTATGATATGCCCCCATCCTCCAAGGAAAAGAAATGCCTTAACCACCTAATTGAGCTGAAATACAAAGTCTGCTACAAAATTTTTTTTCTTTTCTGCTTTTTGAGCCACACCCAGAGGTATTCTGGGATTACTCCTGGGGAGGGGGGGAGGAATATGGGATGCAGATTGACCTTCTGTACTATCACTCAAACCTCCTTGCTATAAAAATGTAAAGAAAGGTCTTGGCAAATGAATAGTATATAATATCTTGGAAGAATAAAAATAATAAAAATCAACGAAATGATCAGACTGTTTCCAATGCATTTTTCCTAGTAATTTAAAATATCTATGAGCTAATCAAAAATTACACTGATATGGAATAAAATATTTTTTAAAATGTGGCTTAGGTAAATGGAGGCATGACCTCTATTACCAGCCGGGTTTTTTAACTCTTGCATCGCTCAGATCCCCCCTTTTCAGGGTCTTCCTTCTCGAAGTGGAACGCCGCAGTCCTCACAAAGCCCCTACTCGCACGGATCCCTCCAGAGAGGCCCGGGACCCAATCCCCGCGGCGTGTCCCTCTCTCCCTCCCGGACCCTCGCCCCCGGCCACCCACGCGCTCCCGTCGGGGCAGGCGCGAGACTGGCAACGAAAAGAGCCACCCGCAATTGCCATTTCTGCACGGCTTTACCTCGGCCGTTGTCTTGGCGATTTGAAAATTGGCGCTTCTAAAGAGCCCTACCACTTTCACTTGCAGCGGCCTCTCGGGCTGCACCTGCGTACAGGCGGGGGCCGCCAGGGCTGCAAGTTGGCCCGCCCGGGGCTGCATCCGCGATCCCCGACTCCTCCCGCGCCACGCCGGAGCATAAACATTGGCGTCACCGCAGCAACCGCGAACCGCCCCCCCTTCGCCCCAGACGCTCACGGGGCGGGGCGAAGAGGAGGCGGGGCAAAAGAGGGGCGGGGATACGTGGGCGGGGAGGTAAGGAGGCGGGCGAAGAGGGGGCGGAGCAAAAGAGGGGCGGGGATAAGTGGGCGGGGCGGGAAGGAGGCCGGCGAAGAGGGGCGGAGCGAAGAGGGGACTGGCGAGGGGCGAGGGCGGGGCAAATACGGGGCGGGGCTAGGCGCGGCTCCGCCTCCCTCAAACTTTGGACCTGTAGCTTGTCCCACGGGCTGAGAGGTGGTACTAGGTACAGCAGGAGTTTGCTGCCAGACACAAACTTGCCCGGCAGGAAAGAGGGGGAAGAAGCAAGCCGCCTCCGAGGAGGGTCGCCCGCCTTGAGTTTCCTCTGGGACCACCTCCCCGCCCCGCAAGGTCCTAGCTGCGGCCTTCGCCACCAGCCTGGTGCACCGGGAGGGGCTAGCGCGGCCTTTCCGGGGTGGGCGGGCTGCTAGCTTGGGTCCGCCCCCGGTTGCCGGGGTAACACGGAAGTCGGTCCCGGGCCGCCCTGCCGGGCCCAGCGCCTCAGCACAGCGAGCTTGGGCACCCTCCCGGACCACCTGTGTGCTCGGCTCGGGCCGGACACTCCGCCCTCGTCACCGCCGAGACCCCGCCGCCCCACGGCCCCCGCAGCCGCCCGGCCATGAAGCCCAACTTCTCGCTGCGACTGAGGGTCTTTAACCTCAACTGCTGGTGAGTGAGCGGGGTTGGTGTTGGGTGGGGTGTGGGGGGTGACAGTCCCCTCCGCACTCGGGGGAGAAGGTCTGGCCCCCTTCGGCCAAGCCGCCGCCGTGCCCGACTGGCTGGGGGTAGAGGGGGCGAGACGGCGCATCTTCAGATCTTCAAGGTCCCACGGTGGGCTCCCACGGGTGCGGGGCCGCACAGGGCCGAGCACCCCGCTACTCTTGACTCTTGACCTGGCCTCTCTTGTCCGCAGGGCCATTCCCTACCTGAGCAAGCACCGATCCGATCGCGTGAAGCGTCTTGGGGACTTTCTAAACATGGAGAGCTTCGACCTAGTGCTCCTGCAGGAGGTGAGGGACTACAAAACCCCCACAAGGAGGTGGTGGGACAGGGGTGGGGGTGGGGGACTGGAGTGGGGGACGGGGCACTCCCCGTGCAGGGATGCTTGAATGGGCCACCGCAGCATCCTTGCCCTGTTCCTGCAGGTGTGGAGTGAGCAGGACTTTCAGTTCCTGCGACAGAAGCTGCTGCCCACCTACCCGGCTGCACACTATTTCAGGAGGTGAGAAAGCCACTTTCGACCCGTGCTCCCATCCCAGACTCTTCATCCTGTCCATCCTTTGCCCTTCGCCCTTCCTCAGCCGGGCCGCACCCACTTCCTGCTCTCCACCTTACCGTTCCCTTCCTTCAGGAGTTCATCAACCCCGGACTATGGGCCACTCTGTTGTGTCCCATCAAGTCTGTCACTTTGAACTTCTTGCTGTTATGGGTCTCAGCAGGATTTCTGTCCCTGCATTTCTGCTACTGAAGCAGGATTTGTCTTGCAGCGGCATCATTGGCAGCGGTCTCTGCGTGTTCTCCAAACACCCAATCCAGGAATTCACCCAGCACGTGTACACCCTCAATGGCTACCCCTACATGGTGAGGCTGCTACACTGCTCCCCTGCTCCACACCCCCAACCTTCATTGCCCAGGCTGGCTCCCTCATGGAGACTGGGTACCAGTGTCCTGACTTGTTCCTGGTATACTCCGCCCAGGTACACCACAGTGACTGGTTCTGCGGGAAGGCTGTGGGCCTGCTGGTGCTTCACCTAAGCGGGCTGGTGCTCAACGCCTATGTAACCCACGTGAGTGAAGGTGGCAGTCACTGCCCAGGGCTGGGGTGGACAACAAGCTAGGAGAAAGGAGACAACAACTCTGGATCACCTGGGGGATGGGGGAAGGATGGTAAGATTTAAGGTCAGGGGGCAAGGCTCATCCTTTTAACCAAACACTGTGCCAAGTGGCAGTCAAGTGCTTAATGGAGCACTCCTGGGACAACCCCCCCTCCCCCCCCCAGCCACCTCATGTAGCCTCATGTACCCTTTCAGCTCCACGCCGAGTACAACCGACATAAGGACATCTACCTAGCACATCGTGTGGCCCAAGCTTGGGAACTGGCCCAGTTCATCCAGTGTGTGAGCCTGGGCTTGACTGGGGGAGGGGGGACCGGGAAGGGGGAGAGCTGAGGACGAGCTCTTTGAGGGGAGGTGGCACAGGAAGAATTCCCGCCTCACCATCCTGGTTTCCCCAGCCACACATCCAAGAAGGCTGACGTGGTTTTGTTGTGTGGGGACCTCAACTTGCACCCAAAGGACTTGGGCTGCCGCCTACTGAAGGAGTGGACGGGTCTGCAGGATGCCTACCTCGAGACGCGGGACTTCAAGGTTAGGGCCTGCCTTCCTCTTTCCCCACCTGAACCCCAGCTTTTTGCTTGCATGCTTCCGCCGCATCCTGGCATGAACCAATCCCGCCCCTAGGGTTCTGAAGAAGGGTGTACAATGATCCCCGAGAACTGCTACGTCAACCAACACGAGCTGGAGCCATTCCCCTCAGGCATCCGCATTGACTACGTGCTGTTCAAGGTCAGGTCTCCATCGTGCTGCACCCAGCCTGTCTCTGCTCAGCCAGGGCTGAGCCTTCCTCCACCCACTTGAGCCTTAGGCATGCCGGTGGGAGACCAGCAGCTGGCGGCCGAGGAAGGGTTGCTCGGGTCTGAGTCTTGCTCTGCCCTGCCCTCTCCCAGGCAGTTTCTGGGTTCTACATCTCCTGCAAGACTCTGAAGACCACTATCGGCAATGACCTTCACAATGGCAACCCCCTGTCTGACCATGAAGCCCTGATGGCTACTCTGTGTGTGAGACACAGCCCTCCCCAGCACAACCCCAGCCCTGCCTCTGGTGAGTCAGCTCCCCGACTCAGCGCGTCCAGCCCACCCCAGGCAGTGCCCCCCGCGTCTGACTCCAGTCTTTCCCACCCCTTCCCTACCCTTCTAGGATCTCTAGATCAGCCGCCATTAATCAATGTGCTGACCGAGGCCTGGAACGAGTTAGACCTGGGAATGGTGCAAGCTCGCTGGTGGGCCACCTTCGCTGGCTACGTGATTGGGTTAGGGCTGCTACTGCTGGCATTGCTCTGTGCCCTGGCGGCAGGAGGCGGCATCAGGGAAGTTGCCATCCTGCTCTGGACCCCCAGTGTCGGGCTGGTGCTGGTGGCCGGCGCAGTCTACCTCTTCCACATACAAGAGACCAAGAATTTGTCTCGGGTCCGGGCTGAGCTCCAGCATTTTCTGGGAAGGGCAAGGGAAGCCCAGGACCCGAGTCCGTCATCCCAGCCAGCCCTGCTCCTGGGGCAGCAGGAGGGAGACAGAGCTGAGGAACAATAAAGTTGGACACTTGGGACAGCCACTGCCTTTTCCTTGTGGAGGTGGTGATTTGGGTCCGGGTCATCCACGGTCACAGGTTCCTTCACGTGTGTCTCCTGCCCTCCTGCCCACACATGCCAACCCCCCACCCGCAGGCAGCTCACACAGCAGTCATGGAAGAACCATTTTATTGTCCATCAGTGACACCCTCTTGGCATCTCAAATAGCAAGGGCCTCCTGTCCTCTACTAGCTGTGGTCCAGTTCACCGAGCCTGCGTTCCTTTAGGAAGCGGATGAGGCTCTCTCTCTCATTCACTACTCTGATCTTTTCCTCGAGGACCTGTGCCTCTTTTTGCCGATCAGCATCAGTCTTCAGGTACTCTGAAAGGAGGAGACAAAGCTTTGAAAACTGGACCAGGTGGGAGGAAGGCCACGTGCTAACACCCAGCCTGTGTGACTCCCTCCACCTAGCCTTGTTTCCTAGTCTGTGGAAGGAGGCTGGCTGATGCCACGCAGAAGTGGTTGCCAGCATCACTGAGGAGCAGGCCCATTTCCACTGTGTGGCATGGACGGAACGGATAGTATTTGGGGCCCAGAGCCTGGTGCCCTAGTAGCCACCACATGGACTCAAACCCAGGTGCAGGGATCAGTGTCTGGGGGCTCAGAGCCTGGGCCCTAACAGCTTCTTACCACAGGACACTGACCTTCCTGGTTCATATATCTAAAAAGCTCCTGGTCCAGGTACCATTGTTTCTCCTCCAGTTTCAGCTCAGTCATCCTGCAAAGAGCAGGAAAGAGAAATTCTGAGTCTGCAGGGAGGGTCTCTGGGACCTGGCTGGGGCCTAGAGCCGCCCCTGACTCTGCTTACGTGAGCGTGAGGTCGGCCTCCTTGTTCAGTAAGCTGTTCTTCCTCTGAACAAGCTGTAACAGCAGCTCTGTCCATGTCTTTTGCTTTTCAGGGGAACCTGGTGGAAGAATTGGGGACAGGGTGAATAGGCAGCTGCCTGTCCTGGGTATTATGAATCATGTCTGATTTGGGGACAGAACCCAGTGCTAGAGGCAGGGAGGATACCCCTCGAGGTAGTGATGTCCTCCCCTCTACCCCCATCTTCACTCACTGCTCTCACGACGCAAGGCCAGCTCCACCTCCATGCCCTGAGCTTCCAGCTCCTTGATGGCAGCGTCTATCTCATCCTGTCTCCGCTGGATGGCCTCAGGGGCACAAAACAGAAGGCTCTGGAGTCTTTAGAGTGCTCAGAAACAGAGCGTGGGGTAGCCTTGACCCCATCAGAACCCCCCAGAACCTCTAGACCTCACCTGGGCCTTGCAGAACCGCTTCATCTCTTCCTCCTTGATGCGGCGCAACAGGGTCCGATGCCATGTTGGGTACTTGCTGCTGTCTGAGTTCTTGGTCATGGTCAGCAGAGTCTACATCAGGGTAACAGGGCCAGGCCAGTAAGGCTAAGGGCATAGCCCCCTTTAGACAAGGCTAAGGATGCTCCATTCAGGTGGGGTCCAGTCTAGTAGGGGCACAAGGCTGGGGGAGGAGACACTCCTAGGGGAGGGAGTCTGGTGTAGCTCTCCTGTGACGCTGGCATGGGGGGAGGGAGGGGGTGTACTTAGCAGAATGCGCCCAGGCTGGGGCAGACAAGGCGGCGAAATTCCTGCTCCTCACCTCCATGTCTAAGTTCCAAGCTGCGTCTTCCTCTTCCTCATCACTGGAGGAGGCATTATCTTCTTGCTCTGTCACCATGGCGTCAACTGAACAGGGAAGTGGATATGGTCTGGGATTCCCCCTTACCCAATCCCCAGCGTTCCTCCTTTAGGAAGTTCACTACCAGCAGGTACCACCACCACCTTGGGTCAGCACCTCTGAGCAGAGCGTTACCTTGAGTCTCCTGAGCTGGCAGTCCCCAGCCCTTGAAGCTGCCCTCCAGGGCCTGTTGGGCCGGGACACTGCATCTGCGAGGGGGCTTGGAGGGGAGCTCCATTTCTGGGTCAAGGGTGAAGTGCAAGGTGAAGAGCTGCTGGTGCTCTGAGCTGGACAGGCGAAGTGGCCGGCGAGTGGGTTGGCTGGGGTCTGGGACAGGGTTAGGCCTGAGAGTGGAAGGACTTGGTGGCAGGCTGTTGTCACCTGGCATGGGGAGTTCCTGGGAAAGTCATCAGGTAGTGTGGTCACCTCACCTATCCAGTGGGGAAGCCAAGCCACCTCTTGGATAAACTGGACCTGGCATTTCCTTGAATTATAACAGAGGGTCCCAAGGTTGGTTTTCCTACCCTCCTTTTCAAAAAAAATATGTCACTCAGCACCCCCTAGAACCCTGCCTTCTTAAGGAGAACAAACTGCTTGCTATCAAATGAACCAAGGCATCTACTGCCCAGTCCTCTAGCGGTGGTAACCCCCCCCCAGAACTCCCCCCAAACACACTTTGGAAAGACACATTAACATCATTTCTAGGACAGCTCAAAGCGGTGTTCTAGATGCGGTGCATCACTTAGGAGCACAGGGTCAAGGCTCCCCTCGAAGTGTTCCAGGGAAGGTTCGAGCATCCCAGCCGGATTTAGACACTTCGGCTCCCAGGTCTGCGTGCAGCTCTCACCTGGCTCTCGTGGCCTGTATGGCTGCCTTCCTCCTGGAGGCTGGGCAGGGGCAGATGCTGGAGGCAGTACAAATATCCTGGGAAAAGGGGAGAGGGCACTCACGAGATTCCTCTCCCAGAAGAATGGGGAGCCCGAGCGCTGGATTGGCAGCTGAGTTTCCAAAAGCCCCCTCACTCCTCAGACCCCCACATCTCGGCACGAAGGCCATTCTGAGCCTGCCTCTGCCGCCCACTTGCCTCCCTGTTCTCTCCAGCATTGAGTTCCCGGCCCTCTAGGGGCTTTCCAGGCCCACTCACCGTCTTCCAGGTGCTGCTGGTAGCCACCTGGCAACAACATGGCCTCGCAGACGTGGCAGCGGAAGCAGCTTCGGTGGAAGAAATGGCCGTCAGCACAGAGGCGTTCCAGGATGTAGAGCTGCTCCCCACAGAGGGCGCACACGTCCCAGGCCTCGGCCTGCAATAACCCCCAAGACTATAGGGTCAGTTACAGAGCCCCTCCTCTGTCCAGAAACCCCCCTGCCAGCCTGCTCCACAAGGGCCCCTTGGTCCTCACCTCCTGCTGCTGGGCTGGGGGTGTCAGGGGTACGCTGGGACCTGTGACAGGAGGCTCCTCCGCACTCGGGCTCTTGACCTTTAAGGAGACATGTGCTCAGGCCAGGAGCTGGGAGCAGGGGGCAGTGGGGAAGAGGACTGCTAGGGCATGCGCAGGGTTGGGGGGGACAGAGGATGAGGGGTCCAGTTCCTGGAGGGTGGAGGGGATCACTGAATAACATGGGGGGAAGGAGACAGAACCCCCTGGGTCAGGGCCTGACAAGCCCCTGCTGCTGCATTTCCCTGTAGGCGAGGCTTCTTGCCACCAGCTTCCTCTCCATTTTCCTGCAACAAGCGCTGCCCTGATCATGGGGCTCCCTGTGCCCAGATCGCCCCTTCCCCGGCCCCAAGTGCTCTGGGGTGACTGTGGACTCTGTGCTTGCCAGGGTCCTTGAAGGTGCTTGGGGGACCACATGCAGTGCTGAGGCCTGAAGCCTGGAACTCTCTCCTGTCCTTCCTCCGTGGTGAATGTATGTGTCCACCACCCCACCCCCCGCTTCCCTGTGCCCTGGGACCTGGGCTAGGAGGCCAGCCCCAACCCCACGTGCCAGCTCCTCACCTGGGCGCGGGTCCGCTGCAGTGTCCTCTGTAGTTTGCCCAAGAAGAGCACAGCCCTGGAGGTGCCCTGGGTGAACTGCCTGGAGGGGCCTGCAGGGAGAGCCAGGTGCGTGCGTGCGTGTGTGTGTGTGTGTGTGTGTGTGTGTGTGTGTGTGTGTGTTGGGGGTGGGGGTCAATGAAAACCACCGAGCCCGAGCCCCATAACCCAGAATGCTCCCCAGCTCACCTGGCATGTGGGGGAGACTCTTGTAGGCACTGTGGAAGGAGCTGAGGTAGGCAATGAGGCCCAGTGGGTCGCTCCCCATCACCACGGCCCATGCAGACAACACGGGGGCAATGCCTAGCTCATGCTCCGCCACCCTCAGTGCCCACGAGGCAGCTTCCAGTGCCCCCCTCCCTTGCAGGACCGAGGGCTTCCTGGCAAAGGGCGGACAAGGAGACAAGGCAGTGGGACACGGGCACCTGACCCCATGCAAGAGGAAGTGAGCTAAAGGGAGTGCAAATGGGGAGGGAAGGGAGAACACAGAAGCTTTCTATTTTCTGCTGTACCCACCACCACCTTCAAAGCTTCTCCCTGTGGAAAAAGGCATTCCAGTTTCACTGGCTTCCCAGAGTCGGGCAGAGGAAAAAGGTGTTCCAGTTTCACTGGCTTCCCAGAGCGGGGTGGGGAGACCAAGGGGGATGCTAACTCCCACAGCCCTCTTTGGTCCTTCTACGGGGCGCGGAGGAGGAGGAGAGGGAGGCCCAGAGGCCTGAAGGGCGCAGCTGGCCCCATGCCCCACTCACAGCAGATCGGGCTGCACACGGTGTACCAGGGCGCACAGAGCCCGTCCATCAGCCCAGGAGGAAGACAGGTCCGTGACGTGGACCCCTGGGAAGCCGGTCGTCTGCTCCTGGCACCAGCGCAGCAGCTCCTTCTGGGTATCCACCATCCCTGCGAGAGGAGGGGGGCGCTGTGCCCAAGCTCCCACAGAACCCCATTTCTAAGTGTGAGCATGGGAATAAGGTGTCTGCGAAGCAGAGGCAGAGACAGAGACCCTTCCCTGCTGCAGAGCCCCTGTGATGCTCCCTGCCAACAACACCCGCACCCCAATTTCCTCTGTGGAATGAAGTGACCTCTCCCCACAGAGGGCAGAGGACTCTCAAGGAGGGGGACAGCACACCCCTTTCCGCGTCAGGTAGGAGTCGACCTCTCCCACCACTATTGAAATGCTGCTCAATGCTGCTCCACTGCCCCCCGGAACCCACTCTTCAGTGATGCCCCTGGGCCCCTACCAACCC